TCAAGTATTGGTGGCAGCAGTCGATGATTGTTGACTTGAATCTCTGTAACTCGTCTTCAGAAGTTGGGATGAGGTCGTTCGTTTGGCTGATTAGATTTTCAAACTTGACCTAAGTATGAAGTTCGTCGGCGTTGAAATTGATATCGCGGAATTTGGGCCCAGAGATAGGACTTCCAGTTGAACGTCGGTTGAAGGTACTGAGGAATAATTGAACACCAATTTTGTGAGTTTGTCAGGAAATTTGCTGTGAGGTTTCATCTGCTGAAGGCTGTTGTTGAGCTGGGTTACGGCAGACTGCGATCGTTTCCTTGCAACTAAGTTGATATATTCGGTGAATTTCTGACATTCGCCTGGAGTCAATTCGTATAGGACAGAGGACCTTTGATTAATATTCCGCTGCAGTTCAGGCACACGTGATCTGATAGAATCAGCACGATTCATTGCATGACGTCGAAGGGACTTCGTATTTGGATATATATGATTGAGTCTCAGTGCTTTCCAGAACCACTTTGGATACTGATGATTAGCGATGCAATCCTCGAAAAAACCAACTTTCGCACTCCCCACAGCAAGCTTGACAGAGTACCCTAGAAACCCAGTGAATTCCTTGACTGTCGAAAGGTCCTTGCTACGTTTTGTTTCATGGATAATCCCTACTCAGGCATTAATGAAAACAAAACACGTAGTTCAACGAAGAGTCTCTTTTCGGCGAATTCATTTTCTTAGCTGTACAATCGCAAATATATATGTGTTATCTTGTATGTATGTGTACACTAAGTTTGTCAAACAAAAATACAATTGGTTATGGTTATTTTAACTAAACAGGTGAAGATTGGTACTTAGAGTTACGCAATAAGAAAACAGTCAAGAAAATTAGGTGTTAGTGGAATTAGGGCAGTAACAAAGGTGCTGAGTTGTCACAAACAGTTGTTGTTGTTGGGTTCGCTGCTGACGTTCTCACCTGGCCCTACGTCTGCCAACATGCTTTCATCTCCTTTTCACATGACATCCTCCATGTCACCTTCGGAGACCAACTTGCCACTTCCCATTCGGGTTCCACTCGAGATCCTGGCGTGTGATTTCACTTGGTGGTTTTCTCACAGTATGGTCAATCCACCTAACTCCATTTCTTCCTGCTTATTTGTTGCACAGTTGGTTCGTGCTGCTGGCCGGCCATCTGATCTTGAGCAGTCTTGAGCGAAGTCAGCTGTTGGTAAAGGTCTGTAGTTTGTTCGAAAAGATGGAATCAGGAGACCATACATCTCGAATCATCTTTCAGCCATCCTCAGTGAGAGTAAAGACCTCTATACTTACAAGATCCTACTTCAAGATATACTACATGTGATCATCGTCAAACAGTTACCTACAAAGCTAACCGTTTTTCTCTTTTAAGTACTCAAAATTAAAAATCTACAGTGTTGTCAGTTGGGGCGAAGCAATCAGCCAACAAATCCACTGATACACAAAGCTCTTCTGTCTATCTCTCCCCGCACACACACCTTATTATCACTCTTAGATCCACCTTCATCACCAGTAATATTCCTGAGACAATTTATTTATTTTATCTTAACTCTCTGATCCCTGTCGGTGACTGAAGCCAAAGAAACATCGTTCTTAGTCTCCTGCAACCACACCGAAAGTTCGTATTACAACTTTCAACGTCGGTATGTCAAGTGCAGTTGAACAGTGAGTTTTACTAGTCAAAACCTATATTCGATGTTTGAGATATGTCTAAAGTTCAGCTAATGAGTGCCAGGAGACTCTCTAGTGGTAGTGATACCGCTTTGAATAATCTCCGCTTACACGCCCATTGACTGCAGAGTATGGTTGAGGTGAAACATGAGTTTTATAATATGTAGTCTAATTAATGTATGCGTAAAACTGGGGCACTGTGGTAGTGTGTAATTCCGTAGTAACTTGTTTATTAGATAATATCACAAAGTGTGAAACAGTATTATTTACTGGATGACGACGTCCTTCGAACACAATTTATTATTGTTCAAAATCATATCGGTTATAATCACGCAACTACGAAGCTTCCATTTTATAGTTTTCTTTACTCCTTCCTATCCATCGTAGGAGTAGTCATAGAATTTTCTAAATGTCCAGGTGAATAAATGTTGAATCATTCCCAGTGCACGTATCAGCTCTCAGTGGACTTGATAAATAAAACTTCCGTTATCAATCTCTCACCCCCAACCTGTTATATTAGTTACATTTTACAACTGTCAACTTATCCCACTATATTATGCGGTTGGAATAACGTGATTGTTATTATAATTACGTGTAACTGGATGTAATGAGTGCTATAGCTAGTGAACTACTCTCCAGATTTCTTATCTTCTCAGAGTCAACTAATTCACACTTTATTGCTAGTATTTTGCGCTGCTCCGTTAGTCTGACTGACTGCTACTTTCACCTGAGGCACAATCGTTCCAGCACGGTATCAGGCAAAGTAAGTTGTTTTGTTTAATCGACTGCACTCCACAGGATCGACTTCCTAACAGACAAAGCTTCTTTGTAGTTGAGTTTGTGAGTGCCAGCCACTTTTATTGCTGCCTGCATTGTTAACAATTAATTCTACGTAAGGTGTTTCCAAAGTACCTTCTTTGCATGGAAGTACTGTTGATAATGACTTGAATACCTTATTGTTGATGTTTTCATCATTCTGTGCATGTTTGTCGTGCTTGTCATCATTAGCATTATCACTACTATCATCATTATTATAAGTTTTATTTTCACAGTTTTCTACATACTTCCTGATTCATTTAACGTGGTAATTATTCAGTTTTAAAGAATCTCGTATACGCCTAGCTTCGTGTCTCAGATTTTCCTTTGATACTACTAAATTTTTGTATCAAAATACATTCCCAGTTTCCATTACGGAGAAGATTTTTTTCATTTAATAAAGTTTCACAGTGTGAACATGCCGATCTCATTCCTCTGGCAAAGAACGAACCCAAACAGCTGTTACTAATACGTGCCAAGGACATACAGTTTCAGTTCGACAGTGTTCTGTAGTGCTGAATCGATTGAGTCGCTATGGGAAGTCCACTAGGTCGAATTCTGGCAGGCAATTTAATGGGCAACTTGGAACAAACAAGAATAAAGTCTGCAGTCTTTCAGACAGACTTCTACACCAGATATCTCGATGACACGTTCGTTATTTGTGATTGTTTTCATGACGCGACTAAAATATTCAACCTCCTGAATAATGGTCATTTTAATGTAAAGTTTACAACGGAGTGTGAAAGTGAGGACAAGTTTCACTTTCTTGACCTTGGTATCCAACGTGAAAGAGATGGTAAAATCGTGACGTACATCTACAGAAAGAAGACCTGGACGACAATCTATCTCATTTCCAAAAGCTCCTGCCGTGCAAGTTACAAAAAGAGACTGATGGGAAGACTGTTTGGTCGTGTAAGGACGCTTTGCTCAGAAGAACTATCCACTGTGGAAAAATGCCTGCTTCGTAATGGTCTCCCAAGGAAATTCATCGACATTTCAACGTGAACACTTATTGCCTTTCCGTAACATAAATTGATTTGAGGTGACGTAAAAGGATACTAGTATATATATGTCACGCATCAACTGGAATGATATTAGATGGAATAACATTCAACCATAGTACCCTAGTGTTACTCAGTACAAGAACACCGATAATTCTGCATCACAGACAAATTTTCTCATGCCTACATTGCAAAACGCTTGGAAAGAAGGGGTCGTATGTACCGATTCGAAGAAAGGCTAACACGTCAAACTACCAAAGAAGGGCCACTTCGGCCTGTGCAACAACAGGCTCCGAATCACACTATCATACTCAACAAGTGAAATATTACGTCGCCTCATCCTGGAGAGAATAAATGCTGAACTGGATGCAGAACTCCACCCCATTGAACAAACAAGCCGGATTTAGCATAGTCTGATCATGTCTTCATCAAATTGCATCTCTACGCATCATCATCGTCACAATCGAACAAAGCATAGAATTATAGTATAATCCTACTCTACTTCAATTTCATCGATTCTGGAAAGGCCTTCAATAGACAGCGTTGACCGTGAAGTGCAGTGCCTCAAATCATCATGAGCCTCATTCAACCAGACCAATATGACAATCACACATGTTGGATAATGCACAACGGAAATCTCAGTGAGGTGTTTGAAGTGAATACAGGAGAAAGACAAGCTTGTCTGCCTATCACCGAGCATGATATTCCTAATTGTAGTCGAACGGACTATGTGTCACACAGAGAGTGAAGAGTGAGCAGATAGGAACAATACGCTGGGTCGACAAGAAGACTCTAGAAGGTCTGGACTGTTGCGGATGATTTATGTCTAATGTAACCATAAACTAGAGTACTTTCAGACAAGAACCATGAAGTTGAGGCAAGAAGCAGAACTTTAAAAACAAACATGATAAAGACGGAGGTGATGCAGATAATCAAACAACAATAGCAAGTACCAATTACTATAAACAGGAGAAGTTTGAAAGAGGTTACTGTCTGCCTTATTTTATCTATTTAGGAAGCATCGTTTGAACTGCAGACCGTCCAGACGCATGAGAAAGTCAAAGCCTGATTTGGAAATGGGAAGGCAAAGTACCCCATACCTTCATCAATCTGAAATCAGTTTCGAAATCTTCCGCATTCCGTCTCACCATAAACAACAAGATTCAGACTTCCAACACCAGTATTAAGTCAGTCAGTCAGTCAGACAATTCTGCGATATGGATCAGAAACTTGGTGTGTGCACCATCAAAGGCCTTTCCAACAGGCTACTGCAGACTTTCATCGACAGCTTCTGCCTTCACTGGCTGTCCGCATATTGAAGATGAAATCGCCGGCTGGTCAGGAAGAATTAACAACAAGGAACAACTATTCGGACAAACTAACCAAAAACATTATTGGTCAACAAATAGGTAGTGTTTCACTAATCGTTAAACCGTAGGCATGCATGCACCAATTGAATCAGAGTACTCTCATTCACTAAACACAAATACAGCATGTATATATCATTCATATTATGATTTATATGACTAATAATATTAAAAATCACTTCGATGAGGATATTAGAAATTAAAAAAAAGTAGAGAAACACGGTAGACGACAGACAAACATATCACCAAACTCTGTTGTGTGAATACACAACCCCACTATAATACAACAGATCACAAATACAACTTCAGTCATACTGATGTACACAACTTGTTAGTGGGAACAGGAATTAACGAGAAACCTTGATTACATAAGAAACAAACAATAAGAAACGAAAATTAAAAAATACTGAAATTCACACACACACACGCACAAAATGAACAACGATTACAACCAACCGTCCAACTGATTACGATCATCTGAACGATAGTGAATAATTAGGAAAAACAAAATGTCGATCTCAAGATTGTATATAAGATGGCTTAATAGTGAATGCCTAGATGATGTGATAAAGAGAATAAGTTAGTTAAAATTGGAAAGAGTAACAATAGATACTAGATACTTCCTTTTGACTTTTTCTTTGATCAATGTCGACCAGATGAGTCCAACTGACTTAATCGAAGTGCAAGTTCCAGGTCAGCCTCTTCTTGTCGACGAGCTTCTTCTTCAATCTGTGCAAGACGTTGGCTTTCCATAATAGCCCATGAAAGTCTAGCCTCATCTGACAAGATAATCACATCACTAGACTTTGAAATATTTTTTCTATTCGCCGAGGGTGATGCTGTTGATGATGCGGAGTGGTGATTTTGTAGGTCTTTTTTTGTCTTGCTTGAGGATTTCGGTTTCATCAGACTGAACGCTGACAACGATTTGGTTGGCGGAGGAATTGAATTACCAGGTGTACTTGCTGTTGTTGTTAAGCGTTTACGAGTTCGTATGGAGTTGCCTGTGGTTGCTGATGATGAATAATAATAATTGCCTAAATCATCGTTAGCAGCATCACCTTCATCACAGCCACCGGCAGCAGAACGAATATCTGCGAAACTTGAAGTGCACTCCATTGACTGCAAAAAAACAAAACAAACAACAACACATTTGCAGTACAGAATTGTTTGTTTAGGGAAATCAGCATGCAATCTCTCACCTTCAGTCTCTTTGCAGGATGGGGCTAGAAAAGATGGAACCAGGAGTCCATACATCCCGATTTATCTTTCAGCCAACCATTGGAGAGAGTAAATACCACTGTACGGATAAAACTCCACCTTCAAACATACCACACATGATCAACATCAAACAGTGAGCCCCATAGCTAATAGTTTGTTTTCTCTTTTACGTCTCACTTCGTGTCTCAGATTTCCCTTTGATACTACTTAATTTTTATTGCAAAAATATTCATTCAGACATCTATAAAACACAAAATAATCGAGCAAGAATATCCTTTTCGATAAATTCCTCTTCCAGGCTCTACAATTATATATATATGTTTATATACACAGAATATTTTAAATTAGTAGTTAATAACAATATTAGCGTTTTTTTAAAATAATAATAATAATAAATTTGTAACTTCTATTATAAGGGGAAAATGTTTTTTATTGTAATAAAGTCTTACAGAGTTTGCTATACAGTAGTAATATTTACTGATGACCATGTTTCGAGCACAATTTTTATTACTGCTACTCATAATTATATCAAGTCACTACTCACACAACTTTCTCACTTCGTTTATTTCCGTTTCCACCATTTCTCTCTCATCTATTGATTTCATGATTGGCAGTAGTAGTAGTAGAAGCACTTTCCATATGCCTGCTATTTATTACAGTGATGAATCAGAAAATGAACAAGGAGAAGTAGCCATGATGTTACATTGTAAAATATAAAAAACGAACAGAAGAAGGTTAGCTACATACACTAATGCTTATAAAAAGCCAACACACTACAGTAGATATTTAGACTTTAACTCATATCTCATCCGGTAGCTGTGAAGGCAGACTTAATTGTAAGTGTCCAACAAACCAACCAATAACAACACCAAGTAGTACATCAACAAACACCTAAATGATGTAATGAAACAGAAGAACAAGAACAAGAGGAAGCAGCGTTGGTGTTACATATATAACTATCCTATAAAATTCTTTGGGAAAATCAAAACACGTCAACAGCAACATAAAAAATTATGGTGAGACTAATAGTGATAACATGTATAAGAAATAATAAAAGGCATCTACAGCAGTTTTACGATACAAGGAGGAGACATCTAAGACGCGACGTGTAGGATTCCTTTTCAAGCAGGTATCAGAGTGATGACATTTAAACCTACAAATTCACTCACTCACTCAGGCAGGACAATCTTTGCAGATAAGTTAAAGGACCCTGTAGCTTGACACAATCACACAAAATAATATAAATATACAAATACTTTACAATGGCTCTGAGTCAAGTCAAACCAGTAGATGGTGAGTAGTCACACTGCCGGGACATAAGAACTAAGCTAGGTGCAGAATGATGAATAGGGGTGATTCAACACCTATCCATATGGACATTTAGAAAATTCTATGACTAGTTCTACGACGAATGGGAAGGAATAAAGAAAACTATAAAATGGAAGTTTCGAAGTTGCGTGGTAATAACTGATAGGATTTTGAACAATAATAAATTGTGTTCGAAAGGCGTCGTCATCCAGTAAATAATACTGTTTCACACTATAATACATAAACAAGTTAATACGAAATTACATACTACCACGGTGCCCCAGTTTTACGAATATATTAAAGCCTAATTGACCAAAACAGTTTTACTATCGTGAAAGGAAGGAACTCTAGTGTATTTCATACCTAGATGACTAGGAAAGAGGACGTACAGTAAGAAGCGTATATGAAAAACCTACGTCAACTGGCCAGCATATTCATTTTCCTAGTTCCATTCCTTTGAAATACAAACGCAATCTAAAAAAGAGATTGGTCCGTCACAGAGCAAGAACAGTCTTGTGCTCTGATGAATGCCTTAAAGAAGACGTTAGTGTTATTAAACAGTTGCTGAGTGAGAACGGTTACCCAGAAAAATTCATACATATGAATATGAGAATCAAAAGTCAAGGCACGCCAAAGTCCCAGTAGCCAAGAGAAAGGACGGCTCTGTTCTGACAACTTCATTTCCTCAGTGACGATAACACCAGTGATATATTAACACAACACCTAAGGAATGCGGTAAAACGAAGAGCATTCAATGCCACTGAAGTATGCCGTCTCTTCAAAGCAACCTCTATTTGACCTTCGGGAGTTAGAGATAAACTACCTAATTCCACCTCTTTTATGTGCATCTATTACAATTTGACAAATCTTGTGGGGAGCCACTTAGTTGCATAGGTCATAAAATTAGGCCTGGTTATCGTCGGATTTCTGAACACCATACTGCATAGAGGTTAAGTAAGGAGTGAGAAACAAAGAAGTCCGTTCATAGTTCTATACTATCTCATTTCGTGGATACAGAACACACCCCAGTAAGGAGACGCTCGAATGAAATCGCGTCCTAGATAGGCCATCACTCGATTAGAACCCGAATGGGAAACGACGAATCGGCCATTGGTTCGAGGATGACATAGAAGAGATCAGAGGTTATGGACAATCGTTCAGCTAGCTAGCTAAAGAGGACCGCAGAAAACAGCACAAATTGGAGATGTGCTCCGGCTGAAGTCCTATGTTCTAGTCAATATCCAAGGGGAGAATAATTATAATAATAATAATAATAAACATTCCTACAATTTATACGACATGCTATAGCAATAAAAGGAAAAAACACAAACAACTTAACAATTATAACGATATACATGAAATATATTAAAGTTTCCAAAAGCACCATCTCACCTTGAAAGCTCGAGATTTACCAGGAGTTGGCTGGGTTTTAGGTCGTGGAGGTGGAGATTTTCTCCCGAAATTTGCTCTATTATTATTGTTCTTCACCTCCCTATTGCCACTGGTCATGTCTGTACTACTACCCATAAATAATGATGACGTCACAGGAGGAGCAGCAAATGGATCACTACCGAATGGATCTGTCATATTTGAAATTCCACCGCTGTTAGAAGGCCCAAAAACCTAAATATTGTTATTCGTCAGCAAGAGACAGACAGGATAGGTGGAGAAAATAAAGATGTATGAAACTACAATCCACGCAAAGAAATATCAAGAAATAACTGCTCAAACATGCTGTTCATTCACTACTGAGTTCTAGAAACAACCATGTTTCCACATAGCCTTCTGTATCTGTGTAATGAGACTTCGTCAGAGGTCAACTCGCTGAGGCTGGCTGATTCAGCTTCCCGAATAACTGAAGTGTTCAGCACTCTGCACTACTTCACTTCCTATTTTTAGGCTAGGAGTGGAAAGGAGCAGGATTGTACACCCAGTTTTTGCAGAGGCCTAAGTCGCCTTTTTTTCGTAGCTTGACAAAGTAGCCCTCATCGCAATCGGTAGACGCCTTTCCTTCCTTTCAAACGTTCTGCAATGATGGCATCAGCACATGCCTTAGGTCCATTTCCAGTGCTTCAAGGGGAATTACGGCTGGTGCTGCTGCCCCTTGAAAACCTCAGTAGCTTGATTGCATACAAGATTTCTGCTTTTGTTGGACCATTGTTGTCCATCGGCATTTCTCTGCGTGCTCTGGTGGTATTTCTTTACATATCGATCCAAGAGTCCTTTGGAGTGATCACCTTATTGTTTTATTTGTTTCTCCTCCTTGGTAATTAGATTCCCTTGACCATCTTTTATAGAGTTCACCTGCGTTGATCTCTTCCCGGATAGAGACTTGGTTATCTGATATATCTTCTGAGGTCTCTTTCACCTGCAGCCTTTTCTGTTTCAGGTTCCAGTGTGTACTATAAATGTCCTTTTGTCTTCCCGCACACTATTCTTCTCTTTACTCAGTGAGATGTACATTCTCGCGTATGTGTTGAATGAGGTTAATTAAGGTTTGGGGATCATTTAGCTAAAATTGACCATAGTGTGGTAAAAAAAATTAACACTGAACATCAACCTTATCGAGAGAGAAAAATAAAATTTTAAGAATATAGTGAAATTTGATTGGCTTATGTATGTGATCAGATCAAAACTCAATATATTTAGTAATAATAATAATAATAATAATAATAACTCGAAATCTAACGTACAGCATCAAAATCTGCACCAAGTAAAGAATTTCCCGGCAGCGTTGTAGGGCATATTGTATCTGGTTTGAAGGGATCAAATGCAGATGCTACAATTCAAAGTAAAAAAGTAAAGCAGTCAACACAGAAACTTCCCAGAATCATTAGACATAGAAATCATCTTCAAGTGATGACTTATAGTGGTAGAAATAATGATTATAATAATCATGAGTAAAACAGAAGAGCAGGTTGTAATGGTACTCCTGAGATCCAATAATTGTTGCAAAAGAGACATTAAAAAATGACATAATAAACAAGAGTGTAAGGGAAAAGGAATAGTAATATGGAAAAACAATAGAGCACTGCGATTGGATATGACAAATCACAAAGAGTGAATGCATCTGAGCCATCTTCGACAATGACGATTTTGAGCAAACCATATCACCACAAATTGTCTCAACCCTTCATTGGTTCTTATCATCAATCCCGACGATCTCAACCAGTCAGGTAGCCAATCTGACACCTCCCTAAGTGGTTGGTTGGCTGACTTAAACTAACTGTTGTTACAGATTTGACTGACGATTGAAACCATGTTTTCGTTTCAACAACACCAAGAACCAGGTCTTTAACCAACCTGATGCATCCATCCGTCGGTCGATAGCGATGGCTATGCAGGCATGCGTAACACATGTCTTAACCATCCCACTCAATCGATGCAACTGCCTCACAACCTCCTTATCGATTGATTTTCCATTCTTCTTACCTAGCAGTCAACGCCAAACCTCAATGCTGGGAGGTGCCAAAGAAACCACCAATAGGTTTCTGCGATTTCCTCGCAGCTTCTGTATGAACACTAGTTCATTCCCATTGGTAGCGAATACAACAGCATGCTAAAAACGTTACGCGCAAGATGAAACTAACAGTGTTTACGTGTAAACCTCGAAGCCTGGTGGTCAGAACGTGACTGTGTGTGAGATGTAATCAGCACTTCTACGTGGAAACAGTCATTCCAGTTCATCGAAACCACTAGCAGCAATAAGCAAGGTGTTAGCGAAACGGTCTGGAACGCTGCAAAGAGCACTTTGAGAAGCAGTTTACAGCTGGCCATCAGCGGCAGCATCCACCGTCATTAGCTACAGTGCTCCTTCGTCCATCAGTACTGAACCAAACACCAATCGAGGTGGAGGTCCGAAGGAATCATCTGCAAGTGTTTTAGTGCAATAAGATGGCACCCAGCTCAATCCACCCTCAGCTGGTTCTTTTCAAAGATGATGGTGAGATTCTCGTCATGACCGGGTAAGTATGGGAATTCGAGGATGTGCCATCAATGTAGAATGAAGTCATCATCGTCCCCATCTTAAAAAAAGGGTCAACATAACAAATGCGACAACCATGGGAATATCAGATTACTACCAGTCGTGTCTTGCTCCTATCGACGCCAAGTAAAATCCTGAGTCGCATCATCCTGGAGAGAATCAAGGACGCGCTGGATACAGAACTCCGACCAGAACAAGCTGGATTCAGGAAAGGCAAATCATGTTCTGACCAAATTGCAACTCTACGCATTATCATCGAACAAAGCATGGAATGGCAATCAAATCTCTACCTCAACTTCATAGACTTTGAGGAGGCGTTGACCGCGAAGTAATTTGGAAACTACTCGAGTACTACGGCGTACCGCAAATATTCATCAACCTTATTCAACAACTGTACGACAACGGCACATGTCAAGTGATCCACAACGGAAAACTCAGCGAAGCGTTTGGAGTAAACACAGGAGTCAGAGAAGGGTGCTTATTATCACCAATGATATTCCTAATTGTGGTGGACTGGATTATGCGTCAGACAGTGGGAAACGAGAAGACAGGGATATCCTGGACCGACGTGAAGAACCTAGAAGACCTGGATTTTGCGGATGATTTATGTTTGATGTCACACAAAATCGAAGACTTACAAGCAAAAACCGACAAACTGGTCGAAGAAGCAGCAAAGACAGGACTCCAGGTGAACATAGACAAGACGGAGGTCATGAAAATAACCAACCAACAACAGCAGCAACATCCAGTGCCAATCACCATCAACGGGAGGGATTTGAAAGAGGTTACTTCTTTCACTTATCTGGGGAGCATTGTCTCAACCACAGGAGGAACGGACGAGGATGTCAAATCGAGAATCGGGAAGGCGAGAAACACATTCATCAACCTGAAACCAATCTGGAAATCTTCGTCACTCACCATCAACAACAAAATTCGGATTTTCAATACAAACGTCAAGTCAATTTTGCTTTACGGATCAGAAACTTGGCGGGTCACCAAGAATATTTTCAACAGGTTGCAGACCTTTATCAACAACTGTCTTCGCTCCAAACTGAAGATTAGATGGCCAGAAAGAATCACAAACAAGAAGCTATGGGAACAAACGAAACAGGAACCAATCGCCCAACAAATATGCAGGAGGAAGTGGAGATGGATTGGACACTCGCTGAGGAGGCCGTTGAGTGACATCGCGCGTCAAGCCCTCGAGTGGAACCCGAAAGGGAAGCGGCGAGTGGGACGTCCAAGGGTGACATGGAGGAGATCGTGTGAGGAGGAGATGAAACAGTATGGAATAACATGGACGCAAGTGAAAAGAACAGCAGAAGACAGAAGCAAGTGGAGACGTGCAGTTGAAGCCCTATGTTCCACTAGGAACCCAAGGGAACAATAATAATAATATAACCATTCGTGTCTAAAATATTAGCTGCTGTCTTGCTTCTCAGGCTGTGCAAGACACGTGAGAAGTTGGTCCGCGAAGAGCAGGCTTGGTTTCGTTCAGCCCGTGGAAACACTGGTCATGTGTTCACCCTTTGTCACTTGTTGAAAAAACGTCACACGTATTGCTACCCCTTCAACAACAAGCTATTTATACATTAAAATGCAGTCCTACATAACACCAAGACTCAGTTATTTTATCCCAGAAATGCTAACTAGAACTACCTTGAAAATTGCGTTTATTCAGTGTAATTCGCACACTCTAGGGCATCGATGATTTCAGAGAGAAAGTATATAAATATATATATTTCGTGTGGAAGATCAAGTTAGTTAATTAGAAGAGTCATTATCCCTTCACCACATATGCATGTTTTAGTCTCCCCCACCACCAACCCATTTTCCACACAGAAGTCAAAAAACAAGAAAAGATTTTGAAGAAATGCATTCATCTGTAATGCTGAGGGGCGATCTGATTGGTTAGTGGTTCAAGGCCACTCGACTGTCTGGTGTCTATTCTATTGTTGCCAGTACAATAATCTATGGGGTAAATTAATTGATGGAACAAACACCAACCAAAAAAAACCAGGCAAAATCGACAAGGTGAAAATAAATTTATAACTTTGTTTGTTATTTTTGTGAAAAACTTTCTTACCAGCAGCATTCGCTGTAGACTTTTTACTTTTATCCATCTGAAAATAACAAATCCAAAAAAGAGAGAAGGGATGTGTTACTTTACCGTAAGGACGACAGTCATTGAACACTTAGTTTGTGGAATTTATAAAGTAGAAAAAACATTTCCAATTCTAACACACTAGTTGTATCCTGAAACACCTGATATAAAAAAATCTGGACAACAAGCTAACCCACACACAAAGAAACTTCAAAGTTATCTGTCTGTCCGTCTGTTTTCGGCATAGAACTTTGCACCGATGTGCAGTAGTTCAAGTCGCCACACTCCATGTAGCGCACAAAGGAAGAGAAGAAAGTAGAAGAAATGCATAATAGAGACAGCAAACACAGATGGGAAACAAAGGTATAGTAATAACGAAGAACAATATAGTTTCATTGGAAATCATAAGTCACAAGGAGTGGATGCATCTGCACCAGCCATTGAGAACGATTTTGAGCCATAGCACCAATTGTTTCCAGCCGTTGGTTTTTACCGTCCCGAGGACCCCAACCAGGAAGTCTACACCTCCATATGTGGCTCAAACTAACTGTTGTGGATTTCATTGACTGGTGCCATGTTTTCGTTTGACCACCGCTAGCTCTTTTCCAGCCTGACCCTATGTCAGCTAACATTGCCCGTCGAGGAAGACGATGACTAGGCATACGTAACACATGTCCTAACCATCTCAGTCGATCTAATTTCACAGCCTCGTTTATGACTTGATGACGACATTTCATTAAGTGAAATATCGTAAATGAATCGAATGATTCACTTCTAGGCGAAAACAAATAAGTTGGCAGAATTGGCCGGCGGCAGAGACGACAGTACTTCCAGTGAACACACAGAAGTCAGAGTTAGTGAAGATATCTAATGAACAACTAAAACAAACATCAATTACCATCAACGGCTGAAATCTAAACAAAATCACCTCTTTCAACTATCTAGTCAACACTGTTTCGATCACAGCAGGCGGCCAGTCAACATCAGAAAAGCATGGAGGACATTCATCACAGTGAAATCAGTGTGAAAACCTGCTGCAACTAGCATAAATATCAACACCCGGACCTTTAACACTAGTGATTCTCAGACCAATGCTTCCATATGGCTGTTTTAGGGACTTGGCACACCGGTATCACGAAAGATATTCTCCAACAGGCCTTAGGGAAGCCAGTTGACCGACGACGTGTCTTTTTTACGTCAAGACAGGAGCAAGAATAAGGCCGTCGAATGTCTGCATCATGTTTTAGGCCAAATAACAAGGTCACTCACAATGTGAAAGGGATGAGACGCGTTATATAATTTACGGGAATCTGTGAGAAGAAATGCATTAAAAGTGGACTCTCCATATTGTTAGCTGGAGGGTCATAGCCTAGTTCTGGTCATCCACACGACAGCCATGAGCACACTGAACGTATAACTATCCTCATATCACCGACATCATCGAAAGCTATTATGCAGTGAAAACCAATTTCCTGCAAAATATGACAACAAAATACAATTCAAAAACATATGAACACCATATTAGGGAGGCTAGGACCTGGGGAAGCTATATATCAATGGATAGCTCTCGACGAGATCTACCTATTGGTACCGGTCTCGCACCTTATAGCTTCTCCTCAGCCGAATAGGGAATTTTTCAAAGGCTATAGGGGAAACCTGTTTCTAGGCTCAGAGTTCATGCCGCTGGCTGTTCTCTTGACACTTTTAGCTCCGTGACCTCAGGTTGTTTGCCGTTGTGTATGTAGCTAGGGGGCATTACCAACCATAGGGCAGTAGGGGGGCAGAGACTGCTAGGAAGGAAAATTCGATTATTTTTCTTAGGAATAGCTTTTACCCTCTGATTTATATACCATTGGATTCCTCTCAACAAGACGAATCGATTGGTACCTGTCTCGTCCCTGTAGGCTTTACCGTTGCGAATTTATGGAATTTTTGATGTTCTGCTGGTTTTCTCCATTTTTTTTGCTTGATCCCGAGGCTGACCGGCAGCTTAACCGGACTTCTACTGGTATGACTGTGGCGACGGTATCAGTAGAAGATAACTTGGGTCGCCACACCGCTCCATGAGTAGCTCCGTTGACAGTAGCAGCGGACGCCAACGAAATTTTTCAAACCTCACAACCTACTGATACATTGGCGACGGTATCAGTGGGGGCTGGACTTAGTCGCCATCATTCATCAATCCAAACCCATGAACCCAACAAATCTAAGAAATATCATGCCGGATCGGCCGTGGCCCGGATTAACAACGACCGCGCTTTCTGCTGCCGTGTCACAGGGCAGAAGTGATAAGTACACTACTGAGACACACCAGGCCGCGTGTGACCGGCCTCAAGCAGATGTCCCCTGGACTCTGCGGTCACGCAACACTAACCTTTCTTCCATTTCAGGTACCCGAAGACGAAACTCAGGCGTGAGGCCAGCAACCCCACCCTGTAAACAAACCTGCTACAGAAACTTCACCATGAGCAATCTCCTCGCGACAAAAGAAAAAGTCTGTGTGGGGACATGGAATGTCCGCACCATGTACGAGACTGGCAAAGCTGCCCAGATCGCCAGCGAGATGAAAAGATACAGAATCCAAGTGCTGGGAATATGTGAAAGCAGATGGAATGGAAGTGGACTCACCAAACTATCAACGGGAGAGTCAGTGATCTACTCCGGTCACCCAGAAGATAACCACACGCACACCGAGGGCGTGGCTATCATGATGTCACCAACGGCAACGAAAGCCCTGATGCAATGGGAAGCGATCTCGTCCAGGATAATGACCGCCAGATTCAACTCCAAAGGAAGAAAAGTGTCAATAATCCAATGTTATGCACCCACCAACAACGCAGACCTCGAAGCGAAAGAAGAATTTTACAGACAACTACAGGCAGCAATAGACAATACTCCAGCTGGCGACATTAAAATACTTATGGGAGATATGAACGCCAAACTGGGACCAGACAATACAGGAAGAGAACTCATCATGGGTAGAGAAGCTCTTGGAGAAATGAATGAAAACGGAGAACTCTTCGCCGACTTCTGCGCCTTCAACGAACTAGTGATTGGTGGCAGTGTTTACAAGCACAGAGATATCCACAAGGCTACATGGGTGTCACCAGACGGGCGAACCAAAAACCAAATTGACTTTATCACAATATCGAGGAAGTGGAGACGCAGCCTACTGGACACAAGAGCAAGAAGAGGAGCAGACGTTGCCTCAGACCACTACCTCGTACAAGGGACAATCCAAATCAAATTAAAAGCTTTCAGGGAAACAGGAGCTGCAGATAGACCACAAGCCAAGTTCAACACTCAAAAGCTGAAGGACCAGGCTACAAAGGACATCTTCATTGCAAACATAAAGGAAAAAGCCGAGACACAAATCAACACCAACGAAAAGGTCAGCGTCGAAAAGCACTGGAACAAATTGAAAACGGTGTGGAGTCAAACCTGCATGGAAGTCCTAGGCAGAAAAAAGAGACAGGACAAACAGTGGCTCTCTACGGACACTTGGAAACTAATAGAAGAGAGAAGGGTGGCGAAACAAAAGATTATCCAGTGCACCGACGAGCAACAGAAACAGGAGTTGAATGCAAGCTACAATGCACTGAACAAAAGAGTGAAGAAAAGTGCCAGGGAAGACAAAAGAAAATATTGTGAAACCATGGCAAACGAAGCAGAACAAGCCGCAGGCAAAGGAGACCTCGCTACACTATACCAAACAACTAGGCACCTTTCGGGCAAAAGTTCGACACAGATTAAGCCAATAAAGGACGACAATGGAAAGTCAATCACCAAAGAGGTGGAACAGAGGAAGCACTGGGCTGAACACTTCAAAAGACTTCTAAATCGTCCGCCACCTACAACGCGTCCAACAATACCAACAACGGAAGCAGAACTACCAATGAACATCGACCCTCCGACGAAATCCGAAGTCCTGAATGCCATCGAGATGCTAAAAGCTGGGAAAGCGCCAGGACCAGATGGAATCCCAGGAGAAGCTTTGAAAATAGACCCAGAGACAACAGCGGACTTGATGACGCCACTACTAGAGAAGGTGTGGAAAGAGGGCAAAGTACCCGAGGATTGGAAGAACGGATACTTATTCAAACTGCCAAAGAAAGGAGATTTGAGTCAATGTAAAAACTGGCGTGGAATTATGCTTCTGTCCATTCCAAGCAAGATACTATGTCGCATCATCCTGGAGAGAATCAAACAAGCCCTGGATGAAAAACTTCGACCGGAACAAGCTGGATTCAGGAGAAACAATTCATGTATTGATCAGATCGCCACATTACGGGTCATCATTGAATAAAGCTTGGAGTGGCAGTCACCTCTCCATCTCAACTTCATCGACTTTGAAAAGGCCTTCGACAGAGTCGATCGAGAGGTGATTTGGAAACTACTTCGCTACTACGGGGTGCCACCGACAATTGTACATCTCATCCAACAGCTGTATGACAACGATGCATGCCAAGTAATCCACAACGGGAGGCTCACGGAATCCTTCGAAGTGAGGACGGGAGTGAGACAAGGCTGTCTACTGTCACCAATGATCTTCCTGATTGCAGTTGATTGGATAATGCGGCAGACAACGGCAACCAACGAGGGAACAGGCATAAAATGGACCGACACAAAAGCCTTGGAGGATTTGGATTTCGCCGATGATATATGTCTGATTTCCCACAAACTGGAAGATATGCAAGTGAAAAGCAACAAATTGGCAGAAGAAGCAGCAAAGATAGGACTTCAAGTGAACATAGACAAAACAGAGGTAATGAAGATTCCTGGCCAACATCAACAGCAACAACCGACAACAATCAGCATAAATGGGAGGAACCTGAAGGAAACAACTTCTTTCACCTACCTGGGAAGCATCGTCTCAACTACAGGAGGAACTGACGAGGATATCAAAGCCAGAATCGGAAAAGCAAGACAAGTTTTCATTTCTCTCAAGTCTATGTGGAGGTCAACAGCATTCAGCGTCAAAAATAAGATCCATATTTTCAACTCCAATGTGAAGTCAGTACTACTATACGGATCAGAGACTTGGCGTGTCACAAAGAGCAGCTCAAACAAGCTACAGACCTTCATTAACAAATGCCTTCGCTCAATACTCAAGATCAAATGGCCGGAGAGGATCAGCAACAAAGATCTCTGGGAGCGAACCAACCAGGAACCGATCGTGAAACAAATAGGCAGGAAGAAATGGAGATGGATTGGACACACTCTGAGGAAACCAGCAAGTGACATCACTAGACAAGCCCTCGAGTGGAACCCGAAAGGGAAGCGACGAGTTGGTCGTCCAAGGGTGACCTGGAGGAGATCATGTGAAGAGGAATTGAAAGCGTGTGGGCAGACTTGGAGCCAGGTGAAAACTACAGCAGAGAACCGAACGCAATGGAGACGCATGGCTGAAGCCCTATGTTCCTCTAGGAATTAAAGGAAATAATAATAATAATAATTCCCCTGTTTTTATAATAGGAAGACTTCTCTCTCCTCTGGTATAATACTGGGATAATCAATGATTTACACCACACCCCAACAGGACTACCTCTGATTCCCAAACGCTGACGAAAACCTTAGTTAACGCAGATAGTTAACTGTCTCCAATGTCCTTTAACACCTCTCGAGTCATTACATAAGGTCACGCTGCTTTGCTTCGTTTCAGATTAGTGACAGCTTTCGTAACCTCAATTAGGAAAGGCCAGCCGGTGTTCATATCTCATCCATCAGGGAGGTGTTGGACACTCAGTAAGTTGAGCGTGGCTGCTGTCCAGTTAAAGTAAAGTTCTTCGGTTACAACAGAATAATACAGTTTAGTTACGAAAATCACTTACCGACAAATATGGCAAACCGAAAGGATCTAGACCAAATGGATCGGAATCTTCGAATGGATCATTAGTAATCGGTAGACTACTAAATGGATCATCAGCAGACACTTGATAAATAATGAAAAACAATAAAAATAGAGTGAACAAAAAACAACCAAAATTATTTGGAATGTTAGGTATGTATATGCATCATGTATACCCCTATGAACGTGAATCGAACATGCCATTTCGACTCCTGGATGTACTACTTACCAGGAATACAATACTGAACAATCCAAACATCAGTATATCGCAAACTATACATGGACTGGACAGTTTATCAAATTCCAGAACTTCGTCCCACTGATCCGAAAGCAAAACCTAGTATGCTCAAGGATTAGAAAAATCTGTTCGGAAGACACGATAGATGGAGTATGAATTTAATGCATAAAAATCGCGAAACCCTACTCCTGGAGGAGAACAGGTATCTACTGCCATTTATGGATATAAACATGAAGGGAAAGCTTCCGTTGCCAAAACTCTCAACTGTATCTACGAAAACTCTTTTCACAACCCTACAACTCAAAGGTGACACATTGAAGCAGAAAATCTTAGAAACTGACATTCTCAATATCTGAAGAAGACATTTCGAGCAGCCACCTTATTATGCATCACCTTCTGCAGCAGACAGCTAATCCAGTGTAAGGTTATGAGATGATAATATACCGCTTTTGGCCACCTCATTGTATATTTATCAGTTTGCTTGTTCGTGTGGAGCAGAGTATATTGTCCGTACGCAATGTCGTCTGCAAACATATTCTTGAATACTCACTATCTAGCCTGGCTAGCCAAAGGAAGGAAAAGAAGAATGCAATCAGTTCTATCCACGAACATCTTGTCAACTCTGGACATCAAGCTGCCCCCTCCCTGAATGCTTCACAGTTCTCTACAGAATTCCTGGATGTCGTGTGAAAAGACTTCGAAAACGCCATCTGTATATATGACCGAATCACTAACTGGCTATTCGGGATCTAAAAGCGGACCTCTGCGTTTAAAAAAGCAACAACATACATTTACTCATCCCACCATGGCCAGAGTAACGTCCTTACTATAAGTTCGCTTTATTTTATTATGTAAGTTTACTATTACTATTATCTTTATTTTATTATTGTTCTATTAGTGTTAACTAATAACATTGGACTGAGTCACGAAGAAAAAAGACAATTCATCGAAGAAAATTTTCTTTCTCCATGAAATCATCTCTACAGGTTGTACAGTCATATCAATATTTACCAAAAATGCATAACAGTCGATTACTGAGTGATAGGATGGGGATGATAAACTTGATTTCATTACACAGAAGTGGCTTCATAGGACTTTATGTCCACATTCATCGACGATAATAATCTGGACGTGGGTATTCTGACCCACCACTTAAAGGAACTACTCTTGAGATGAACTTCAATGTCCAGTCCAAGTTCAACAACATACTCTGTAGACGAAGAGATGGAGCGGCGATGGTGTCACCTTCGGGTCCTTTACTTGAAGACTCCTTCTTGGTTAGTCTAGAAAATAGTAGGTTACGACCCACTAAAGATAGTTTTCATATGTACCAAAGACACAAAGACGATACTTTTATAAAAATGTGACGAGAATGCTAACACTGGAATGATAACTAAGGAGTTCAACTGTCATCATGCTATCCAGTTCACATCAAAATCAGAGATGAACCCGGAATTCCATTTTTTGGATGTCCTCATGAAAAGGATAACTTGCAGTTCCCTTCAAAGATAAACCTACAGGCAATGGACACTATACGAATTTTCATGGTTGTATCCCTTTGAGAAAAAACAGAAATCTGAGCCACTCCTTATCCTCAAGAATAAGAAGGATATACACCAGTGATGAAACAATCGATAGTGAACTGTAAACACTCAGACAAGTCCTCATGGGAAATGAGTATGCGCTTCAAGATTCATCGAGAAAACATGATGCAAAGCTAAAACCTAAGAAAACCTAAACGGTGCTGAAGAGACTGTCATTCATGATCGTTGAATTTAAGGGTGTTACCGCAGCGGGGATTCTGGAGAACCGCTTATCCAGATCACTGAGAAATGCCTTCTTTCGGCTGACCTACGGATCGATTTCTACAGTCGCGGAATGATCAATAGATGTGTGAAGGATAAACTGCCACATTGGACGGGTCACTTCAATGTGTGTTTATAAATTCACCTGATCCTGCAAAGCTAGCTATACTGACCGCACAGAGCGAACAATTTCCAAACACATATCTGAACATTATCCAGCATGATTTGCAAAAGGACAATGCAAGACAGTCACTAGCTGAATTCTCGAGCACTTTGTGAACTCAAGCCACGCAGCTCCACTAGAGTCATCCTTCAAGGTTACCTACAAGGTGAGGCCAGATGGTACAGAGGGAGTTAGGTTTCGGCGGAGGCGCTGGGAATTCATCAATATAACCCTGTACTCAGTATACAGAAAAGGTTTATCCAGTCTCTTGTTTAACAGTAGTCTTCACCTCCTCATCAGTCGTAACCTGTATGTATTTTATTTTTAATGACTACTTCGCTTTAACTTTAATAATTAATTCACTGTTATCACTCTTACTTGTTTGTTTTGTACATTTTCTCATCTTCTTCACGATTGTTAAAGGGACACTCAACGGCCTTTCTTCTCATTACTCAACAACGCTTTTAACTTCACCGAATTTCTAACCCTTTCTTTCTTTGTGCTGTTGTTGAGTACTACGTAATTTGCAACTCTCATCCTTTTACCTCTGAAGCCAATTCTGAGTAATTATATCGTTTATGTCACCCCATCCATCTCCTATTGCTCCATAATGGAGAACTATATCTTTGTGGTAAATATAAATACGGCTGTCTACGGCTTCAGTAGATGATTTCGTAGATAAAGAATATATATGTGTATATAAACATATATATATATATATACAGAGAGAGAGAGAGAGATCAACAGCTTGCTAATTAATTATGCAACACGCATCCCTAATAGCCAAAACTACTTATAGTGATCCGAACATATGACTTGGTGTTTGTATGTATGTGTACAAAGATTTCAGGTCATTTAATACAGACAAAATCAATCAATTATATTTGCATACACTCGAAAAACTATGAATCAATATCTCTCAGTAATACACTGTAAGTAGCAAGAAGTTTTATTATCATAATTGTTATTATTATTATGGCTTCAATGTTTACGTCATAAGTAACTCTGAAAGTGGTTAGACTAGCAGTTGATTTTTTTGTCAAACCTGACGTCTCTGACCACAACACTCACTGCGTGACATACGGGTTCGAATTTCGGATGGAGTACATGAGATCCCTCTCAACATTGCAAATACAAGACTTGCTGACGAGTGTCAACAAGTACGAAACCTAGGTTCAAGGCATGGCTTCCTGCCGATTGCCTCCAACCATCTAATATCACCAATTCATAGTGCACCGTTATGGCAGGCCACATAGTCTGTTGGCAGCCACATTGCAAACTTGACTGACAGCAGGATTCAGTTGGTACGAAACAAAGGACTAGAGACATTACACACTAGTTACTGGACAGTGTCCAATCAAATGACTGCATTCCTCAAATCTATCATCAACTTGTCTTCATTGAGTGCGATTAAGAGGCTCAAATAGAAGTATTGAAGTGACAACAGATGAGCCGGTAAACCAACCACTCAAACAACTGGAACCCAATGTGATGTGGCTTATGAATTACAAATTCTGTCAACGGTTCTATAACTGATGATGTCAGTTCGTGATTACTAAACCTGTTAATAATCAAAATCCCTGCATTCACCAACACTTGATAATTATAATCTGGTGCTGGCTAACAACTGGCTCTATAGATAGGAAGGAGTTACCTAGAGTTCTAGTGGGAAGTAGTAACGAGCGGCATTCATCAACCAAGTCAGGTAAGAGATCAGTTATTCGCCTGTGACAGCGGTTGCGTTGTATATATCGCAGGTGATTATTTGTCGTCTTGCCTGACTTGGTGGACCCCACTGGTTACGACTTCCTACTACATATATATATATATATATATGCATATACCATGAGTTTACAGAAGTTAGAATTCATGAGCTGGCCACTGGATTGGGTCCCAGTGACTGAATGGTCTACAAGCTCGCTTTGTAACCGGGAGCTGTCCAGTACTCACAATGGTGTCCTCTAACCCATGTCAGCTCACGATGAAGTCCTGTAATAAACCCCATACAATATCTGAATGCTTTAACTGGTATAAGATAGTTATCATGAATAAGTATTGCAAAATTAGCATAAAATAACTCGATTTTTTTCAATTTTACAACAAACACAACGTATTCAGTAGTTCTGACTATTAGTAAGTCAATAAGATAGACTACCTGACCAGATTACACCACCACCACTCCCACCCCACACTAAACTGAGCTGATCAGACACAACCAGAAAGTGATGTCGATTTGCATAAAGAAAAAACAAAACGTCACTCAAACATGCATATTGGTTTATAAGGTTTTAAAGACTGTTGAATTGATCAAGCGCTGGTTTGCAGGGATTTGCTTGCTTACAGGACTTCATCAAGAGATGACATCGGTTAGAGAGGAGCCATTGGAAAACCACACGGTAGAGTACTGTTAAACACCTGTTTCTATCGGCCTAGTTCGTGAATCTTCAACGACATTACGCGCCTGTCGGGGCTCCAACTCACGACCTTCCGGTTACAAAGCGAGCGAGATCGAGGACAATCCATCAACTACTCGGATCCGTTAATCCAATGACTAACCAGTCCATGAATTCAAACTTCTGCCAAATCAGGCATGATATAGCGCGACAGACACTGGTCGACGTTATCGATGGCGAGATTTTGTCGTTACACCCGACTTGGAACTGACCCCGATTGGCTGAATTGTCTACAAGCTGGCCTTGTAACATTAAGGTCCTGGGTGTGAACTCTGGTGGTAGGTGCATACTGATAATGATTCTCAAACTAGGACGAAATAACCACCAGTACTCCTACGTTTTCTCTGAACGATGTTAGCTCATGATGAAAATATATTAAATTAATTACCTTCTACTAATCATACGTCAATTTTGAAACAATGTTTTGCAGTTTGACTGTAACCACCTAGCGCACACAGCATCACTAACCATTAAATATTAGAAATATTAGATTTAACAAGATATGAATGAGGCAATTTGGAAACTGACATAGTTTATTCAGAATAAAAACAGTTAGAGCGAACAGTTGTGGTTTCAATAAATCCCTGCTTCCTGAGGCTATACAATTATCAAGCTATTAGTTGTTAAGCATACAGTGACCAGCTAGTCAACGTAAATTAGAATTATCAGATGTATTATGGAACAAACATGTACTGTATTGTTCTGGTCAAGGATTTCTATGGCATCTATCGGTTTATCACAAATAGCTATTGTGTCATCCACCTATCTCCTATAAAAATAAACTCTTCCAATTACGTCCTCAGCTAGGTTGCCGACACGCTACATGTTTATATTAGCTAACAATGGAACTACGAGGCTTCCCAGATCAATACCATCGATCTAGCGGAAATGCTGCTCGCCCTCAGATGTTAACTGAACATTCTGACTACATAAAAGCATTAACTCTTTCGAATAAAATAGGGACGCTGGTGATGAGAAATTGTTTTTAGAGATGCAGTCATACAAAATGTCAACCGTCTGTAACAGAGGTGCATTTTTAAATAAAGAATCAACGTCTAAAAAAAACATGGTTTTGTCCTTTATGTCAACGTTGTGAAGACGCTCTGTTACTAACTCAAAAGTATGTTTCAATGCACACTTACAGAGGCTTCTTGTATTAGGCTTTAATATTTCCAATAACCACTTAGCAAGTTTGTGTGTTGGAGATCTGCACACTGACATTATGGGATGCAGAGGGATATTTGGTTTATGTGTTTTAGGCAGACCATACATGTGTGGTAATTGGGAATCCATGGGCTTTAGTCAGTTGAACTTCTCTCTGTTATCTGCATTCATATTTAAGTTTTACTGGATTATTAGTCACCTTATTTTGTGCATTCTTCACACCTTCCAAAGTGGAGTCTCTAGCAAGTTTATCATTGTTTTCAAGAATGTATAACATTTTACTTCTGTATTCAATCTTGTCCACTATAATTACACCAGAATCTTTATCTGGTCTGAGGACAACGACGTCAATATTATGTTTTAGTTCTTTTACAGCTTTAAAGTGCCCAGATATTAGCATGCTTTTCTCAAATGTACAACTATTGCAGAACCGGTGAGCGATGTCACCTAACTTTGCTTTGAACCAACCATAGTGATCATTAGGACCGGGAAAAAGAGGCTTTAGTCGATCATAGAGACTTTTAAATTGTGAATGGATTTCAAGTTTTCAGAAATACTTTTGAGTGACGTCAAATTTAGTTCCGAGTGATTCCCCTTGTTTCTGTCGTGACTAAAGTGGTATGGAAGATAGGTAGATAACATATTTCTCTGTATTTACATGGGAAGCAGAGGGCATAGAACATAATCGAAAGTGGCTGCAACAACAACTAGTAAAATCACTACCGGATACAATATATCCCGGAAATAGATGTCCAACATCGTCTATGTAGAATGAAGCAAGCGCATCAAGGTGTTGATTGCAATAATCGCTTCAAATCCATATATTATAAAACAATTCGTTGACGCCTTCCTTAGTAATCAAAAGGCTTAAACCTGTCTTATGTGTGCCAAAGCAATTATTTGTTATTACTTTGAACCGGCGAGTTGGTAATCCACTTCAGAACCAAGGCTCAATTTACTTAATAATATTGTCACCCTCTTCCTTCTTTGTTTTCTTATCCCACATCTTTATGTCATCTTCCTACCCCATATTTAACCTGTATTATAATAATAATTAATGTCAGCTCTAAACTTCTATATAAATAAACATGTATGAGACAAGTACTCGTGTGTGTCATCAGAATATCCTAAATGTGTTGAGCAAACACAATTACACTGCACGTTTCAGACAAACTGACTACGTCTTCTTATGGTTTTGTCGAAATTCATTTAAGGGAACTAACTGCTTCAAATCGCAATTTGTTGATGATGTTGAAATTATATAAGCCCTTTCAAAGCAAAATAATAATTTTAAAAAATCTCTCCAGAAAACTACCTTTATGAAAGTCATTGCCTTTTGAAGGAACTTTGAAAGGATCACCAGCAATAGTATCAAAAGGATCCGACGGGAATGGAAAACCAAGTGAAGAATTTAAACGACCCTTCTCATCACTTGTCTTCCAATCACCACCGCGTGGCAAAGGGTTGGTCAGCATCACAGGCAGTGGTACGGATTGAGCACCCGTGTTCATCGCTCGTGATGTGTCAAATGCTGATAATGTTGACTGACCAAATGTAGTAGAGGTGGTGGTTATAGGTCCAAAACTGTTCGACCAAGTGATACCGCCTAGCCCAGTATCGATACTTCGCAGGCTACCTTCTGGACTTTCATCTGAAAGCTGAGAAAGAATATATAAGGGCCCAATTAAGAGGTAATACGTATAACAGGGACTTAAAAATATTATAAACTATCCCATCATTTTCGAAGATATCTGCATATATAAATTCACCGTTCAAAGGAGATGATGTATACAAGAAGTAGTCAAACGAAGACTCCATTAAGGCTATCAAGAGAACTTTATTACTGCTGTAATCTATCAAAGACCACTATTCGCCAATCCTTGACACTTCAAACTGTCAGGTCATTCACTGTTGTCAGCAGACAAGGAAACAGGAAGATGCTTGCGATTGGGGAGAAGGCCTGAGCAATTAGAGTTTATAAACCAGCTCTCTATATGCAGAAGTAAATGGTGGTCACTGTGAATCTACCATGGTGGAATGTTTCACTTATTAACTGCTATTATCACTATTAATAATTTATCCTACCTTTTATTATTACTATTTCTGATTCATTTAAAACCATCTTTTATCGGTAGCATTATCTCAACTCGTCGGTGGCACAGAGGTTATGACTCTCGCCGACCATGTACATGGTCCGAGGTTCGATCCCCCGCCGACGCACACCTGATATCTAAGGTCGGCCTGCTAAATTTGGGCTACCGATATCACATGCTGAAAATTCCATACTTGTACCAAAATACTGTGTGGAATCAAGCTATAATAAAATATAAAATAAAATAAAAAATAAAAATTTTAACATTACTATTATCAATGCTATTTGGTTCTCAATTCTTCATGTATTTAAGCTCTTTCACTCACTGATAGCTAACTGATTGTTTATTTGAGTGATGCAATCGAAACGTGCATCTTATCTTAATTTTAATCTCCAATTCTCCCTTCCCCCTATCTATCTGAGCATGACGTGGGAAACATTCACACCTGCCCTTTTGTATCATTAATTCAATGTAGTTCATTTGTTCATCAGTCTGGTAATGTAGAAATGTTAAACGGAGGAAACACCGAAAGTAATAGCATGGAATTCCTAGAAGCTTGGTACTCAGAAAAACAAGCAATTAACAAACATATTGCTATAGCCCAAAATTACAATTGTACTTATGTAGAATTTATTCATGAAAGAGGACAGTAACAAAAGTGACGAGTTGTCAAAATCATAGTTGTTAGTTAATATTAGTCAATGCACCAGAGGATTTGATTAAGTGCGCTAGAGTTACGTGATAAGTTGAATAACTTAATGAAGAAATGAGTTGTAATCAGGTTGCACATCGAAACAAAGGAAAATATGAAATCATGCAAGAGGTCTATAGAAATACAGGAGTTTTAAGGAGTTAAACAATTAAGCACACAAAAAGGAAGTCAGTAGAGATCGACAACAAGGTGACTATCATGATAGTGGAAGTGGTTAAGTAATTTTCTTTTGCATGCACATAACTCTGGTTTTTCCAGCTGTATGGCTAAGGCTTCAGCAGAACAAAGGAGGCGAAAGCGTACTGCTTTTGGCAGCTTGTTCTTTACTTTGTAGATTACTTTCAAGGAGGAGGCGTTTCTTGAGAGATGGAATGACTAGTGATGTTGAAAAGGTTTTCGATTATCGCACTCCTTGTTATAGAGCCAGTACTACCTTTCCACAGATATGCTGTGGAAGTGTCCTTGAACCCTTTTAGACAGGATACATGTCGAATGACCAGTGTGTAGTGGGCTCCACAGCAACAGGTCAACTGGTATATACATGTTCATAGAAGTGGTCAGATGTGAGATCTTTTTATTAAGGCAGGCGTCTGCAAACCAATGGACGACAGACTGGAGAACACTACTGTCTTCGCGTTACAGCGAAGAATACTGACCTCAAAAGTGTTGACATTCTCCTCTTGAGGATATCACAGGGGCTAAGTCTTCCTTGATATTCAGGTTTACGTAAAGCTAATTTTCTTGGAAAAAGTGAATATACCAGTTACCACTTGACTTGTAAACACAATTAAAGAGAGATCCATAATGCATAATCACAAATGTGAAGACTCTAGTTCTGAAGCTGATAAATGATAGAAGAATTAATTTACAGGTTTTTGCCGTTTGTACATTCGATACTTTAGTGAGATAAAATTACAAACATCCAGCTCCACAGAAATTTAATAACATATACAGAAAAACGTTAGTCATATTAGCTAGTTGTCCCCCTTGTGAGTTGAAGTTCCTGCGGCAGTTTGATTGATTTTCTAGGGTAGCATCCGCAGCCCCATGCTCGGCTCCCTTACTCTATACCCGGGCTTGGGAGCAGATAGAAAATTAACAAGCTAATGGACTAGGTGAGGTCACCGATAATATTCCTAGGTGTGGTCGACTGGATTATGAACCCGACTATGTGTGAGAAGAGAGATGACAAGAATACACCGGACCCAGAAGAAGACTCTAAAACATCGGGATTTCACACGTCGATCATTTATGTCGTTGTATATCACACAAAGTCAAAGACTTACAGGTAGGCGAAAAACAACGACCTGACAGGAACGCCTGGCAGTGAAGACAGGAGACTCCAGGTGATCAACATAGAGAAGATGGAGATGATGAGGATGACCAACCAACCAACCAACCAACCGACAACAACAACAACCAATCACTCACCAGGGAAGGGAGAAATTCGATGAAAGAGGTCTCGTCCTGTCTTCACTTATCTACATATGCGGCAGCATCGTTTCAACCACAGGAATTCGGAAGCGTTGAAGATGTCAAAGCCAGTGAGCCAACCAGTCAGACAGATAGGATCGGAGAAGCGAGACAGCATATCTTCATCACTCTGAAATCAGTTCGAAAATCTTCTGCACGCCGTCTCACCTTAAACAACAAGATTCGGATTTTCAACACCAATGTTAAGTCAGTCAGTCAATTCTTATGTATGGGTCTGTAACTTGGTGTGTACGCCATCAAAGGTAATTCCAATAAGCTACTGCAGAATTGTATCAATAGTTGTCCACTTCGCTGGCTACATATTGAATATCAAATGGCCGACTGGCCAGAGAGTATTACCAACGAGAAACTCTGGGAACAAACTAACCAACAACCTATCGCTCAACAAATATGTAGGGACAAATGGAGATGGGTTCGGCACACACTGTGAAGACCGTCCAGTGACATCAAGCGCCATCCAGAGCATTTCTCGAGTAGAACCTGAATGGGAAGTGACTAGTTTGGCGTCGCTTCCAGGGTGACATCGCGGAAATCGTTTGAGGCAGAGGAAATAAGGGACTAGAGGCAGTCGTGGGACGAGCCAGCTAAAGAGGACAGCAGGAAATATAACAAAGTGGAGACGTGCTGCTGAAGCCCTATGTTCTACTTGGAACCCAGGGGAACAAAAATAATTAGCTAGTTATTGCATACAATAAAAAATGACTTAAAATAAACCGTAAAAGTAGTTAAATTAATCGGCTAGCTTACCAAGGATTTAACTCTTGCTTCATCTGGTTCCTTTGCATTTTCATCACCGTTCAACAAACCATTGTACTGTTCAAGAACTTCTAACAGTTGACTCCGTGTAGATTCTAAGGCGCCTAGTTTCATATTAGCCTACATAATGGGGGGATAGGCATCTATAGTTTAAACTAAGTAAAAACAAAGTACATGCTAACAAAATTAATTGAATGAAATTAGATCGCTAGATTATAAAAGCTACGAATGACAAAAATATACATAGAGAGAGAGAGAGAAAAACTGTCCGTTTCATTAAGACACTATAAAGCATGAATCCTATTTCTCACAAAATAAACCGGCAATTTACAACAAAATCTTTCAGAAATGAAAGAGATTCACTCCTGTTACAGACGTATTATTAGTAGCATTAGTAGTCAACTGATACTCAGAGGCTTCCCTAATCTGTGGATTTAAAAGTATCCATTGAATCGTGTCTCAGAGGCTGGACAGTCTAATGAGAGCTTGTCTAGTGATCGGAAGGTTTCCTGGTGTCGACCTATGGCGGTGGATCCCTACTGCCGATAAGTCCGAAGTAAGGACGAAATAGCTGTCCAGCACTCCCCTCATGAAAAGTTGACGTCGGTTAGAGAACCATTGAAGAACCACCTGATAGTACTGTTAGACAACTGTTTCCGTTGCCCTAGTGCTTGGGACTCTTACGCAGGACTCACCCACTAAATAAGTTCGAAACCACGACCTTCCGGTTACAGAAAGAGCTTGTAGACCATTAATCATCCATTGGGGCCCACCAATCCAATGGATTAAATGGTCCATGAGTTCCAATTACTGCCAACTCACGCACAATATAGCGCAACTGGCACTAGTCAATGTCGTTGGTGCCAAGCATTTGTGCTCACACCCGACCTGCTGTACCCTACTGGTCACGACTTCCCACTACAACTCAAGTAACTACCTACCTGAATACGGTCGTCAGTCGGTATCCGATTGATATTCGACTATTAGTCTGGAGCAGGGATTTGATTGGCTACAAGATTTCCTCATGCATGAGCTGACATCGATTAGAGAGAGAAAAATTCGAAAACCAGCTGAGAGTACTGACACACAGCTGTTCCCAACGTCCTAGTTCAGGACTCCGCTTCAGCAGCACTCAACCAACCAACGCCAGGGTTCGAACCCAGGACCTTCCGGTTATACACGGTGAGCTCGTTTTCAATAGTTTTATAACTGAAATCCAACCGTGATCAAACCTCACAATAATGTGCAAATTGTAAACTTCCCAATTAACAAAACAGTCGAGAATCTTATTTTTCATTATGCCTCATGCTCCAGGCGAATGCATCCGAAATCCAAAGGTCAATCGGTCATTTAATAACTCACTTGATCTACACGTGATTGAGCCAGTCGATTTTCTTTTTCAATCTGTTCTAAACGACGTTGATTTTCAGCAATTTTATCTTGTAACATCGCCTCTTCTCTTATCAGCTCGTTGAGTTCATTTCGTAAACAGGCAATTTCTTCTTTTTGACTCTAAAATTTCATACAATCATTTGGATAATTATTTATTATTATTATAATTATTAATTTGAATAAAGCAAGAATAACAATAGTGCTTTGTGTAGAATAAGATGGTACCACCATTGTGTATTTCGCTGGCTTCTCATCAGCTGCGTAAAGCATCCCATTTTCCGAACACATACCGAAAAGCCTACATCTCCTAAGTGCCATTGTCAGATATATCATTGGATACGGATCATGAGAAGGTGAACATCACGAAATACTTCAAAACTATCAACAGACAAAAGAGTTCAGTTCCCCACAAGTTTGCTAAGACAATCACTATCAAACGCCTGAAACCCAATTTATATGTTCAAAAAGAAAGAGTTTCCTTGTCTTGGTAACAACTGATTGTCTTTACTGCCTCTCTCTCTCTCGTTTAATCACGTAATCTTTGGTTTTAACCTCAACCCCAACCCCCACCCCACAATTGATATAACGTAATTTTGCTTTTCTCTTGTTTCTGTGATTTGATTTGAACTCAGAACACTGTAACTCAATTTTTTAGTTACTCATTATCTTACCTCTTGCCTTTATTAAGTAACTCTTTTACCATCATATGCATAGTGATTTTTGGTAAAACTTGAACTCTCTGAGGGGTGAAAACAATAGAAGCACAATTTTCTGAGCACTGTTCATTAAGTTTGGAACCTGCTATCATTAACTGACATTACGTAAAATTTGCAAGTATGTTAAAATTGTTCTGCAAATTATCTTAATAATCTATCCAACCTGTGCGTGGCTGATGAGAAGGCAACGACATAAATGATGGCGCCAACTTATTCTGCACAAACTGTTGTTTCTGCTTTAATCAAATTCATAAAAGGGAATAAATATTATTATTTTATTTAAAACACAAAAACCTGTTGCAGTATAGGCGGCACCAAGAAGATACGCCACCCAATAATAAACAATAACATATGAAAAAATAGGTAGAGAAAGAATAGGGAATTCGTCTGAATAGGAAGCAGATGCATTTATAAATACCAAACAACAGTATTCGTAGAATTATTTTCAGTAAAGGAAGAAAGAAGTGAAATGAAGCACCTTCACCATTGATCCTTGCGATTCTTCGATATATAGGATAACGTTTCGGGTGGGCCGCCTATTCCAGGTACCTCTCGGACCCCAACCAGATAATCATGGTGTACTGCCAACCGATGCAAGCCCAATTCAAACGACACCAGGTCATAGGCTGGCTTCTCCTATTTTTCCATCCCATCACAGGGTTGGAGAACAGAGACCGCCCCGTTCGTCCATTAGAGGTGACTCCAGAATGTCTTCGATAGGCAGAATTAGAGAGAAATGGAAAGACTGGGCAACCCTATCTAACCCCACAGCGTCGGTTACGAACAGAGATGATAGCTGCATGTATGCCCTGTGCCTATCTGAATTCATTCTATATACGGCTTTCAGAATGGTTACAAACTTCTCAGGTACATCCTTCTCTAACAGACAGTTCCAAAAAACAGTTCTGTCCGACGAATTGAAAGCAACCCTAATATTAAGAAACATAACGATTGTTGGCCCGCAATACGTGTGACGTTGTTCCAACAACTGACGAAGGGTGAACACATGACAAATGTGTCCACGGTTAAACGAAACCAAGCCTGCTCTCCGCGGACCAACTTCTCACGTGTCTTGCACAGCCTGCGAAGCAAGACAACAGCTAATATTTTAGACACGACTAGTAGTAATCTGATATTCCCATGGTTGTCGCATTTGTTATTTTGACCCATTTTTTAAGATGGGGACGATGATGACTTCTTTCCACATTGATGGCACATCCTCAATTTTCCATAATTACGTGAACAAACTACTTGAAGTCATGACGAGAATCTCACCGTTATCTTTAAAAAGAACCAGTTGGGAGTAGATTGGGTTGGGCTTCGTCTTATCGCACTTCAACACATGCAGATTATTCCTTCGGACCTCCACCTCAATTGGTGGTTGGTTCGGTACTGACCGATGTAGGAGCACTGTAGCTGATGATGGTGGATGCTGGCGCTGATGGCTAGCTGTAAACTACTTCTCAAAGTGCACTGTCCAGTGTTCCAAGCGTCTTTCCATCAGCTTGGTAATTGGCGTACCATCGGCCTCATAAACCGTTTCGCTACCACCTTCCTTCTTGTTGCCAGTGACTCAGGTAAGCTGGAACGACTGTTTCCACATACAGCTGTTGATTTCATCTCGCACACAGGCACGTCCTGACCACCAGGCTTCGAAGTTTTTACGTAAACACTGTTGGTTTAATCTTGCGCGAAACGTCTGTAGCATGCATGCAGCCGGAATGAACTAGCGTTCATAGAGGAGTTGCAAGGAAATCGCAGAAACCTAGTGGTGGCTTTTACGGAAGAACTCTTTTAAGCCCCCAGCAGCTTCACTCTCCATTTGTATGGCGCCTTGCAGATGTAGCCAATGTTCACCTACACTACTTGGAAGGTAAAGGCTAACGAAATAGCCGTGACACTAAACTGAGCTATATAGCAAACTCAAAACCACCGAGTCTGTATTAAAGCATAATAAAAACTAGTGAACCAAATCAAGAATAGGAAGAAATTACAATTCACAGGCAGGCCTTTAGATAGGGTCGCAGTGGTTACATGGCTAACTAACTCGCTTGCCTTGTAACAAGAGTGTCTTGAGTTCGAACCCTGGTGGTAGGTAGGTGAGTACTGCTGGAGGAGGGTCCTGAAATGGGACGATGGGAACAGCTGTGTAGTAGTATTCCCAGCTGGTTTTCGAATGGTTCTCTCTCTCTAAACAATGTCAGCTCATGCATGATGAAATCCTATAACTAATCAGATCCCTGTTGCAAATCAATAATTGAAACACGTACTTTCGTTGAAGCTTGTTGAGAGTTGATTTTCATGCGCATTTCTTCAACTTTTTGACGTTCATTCATCACATGATTTTTAATTTCACTGAGTACACCTTCCAATGATTCTTTACCACGATGATAATCAGCCAGGCGACGTTCAGCTTCAATACGTTGATTAGCTAGATAACGTGATGTATGATTCAATGTATCAATTGTACGTTGTTTCGCAGTAGCCTCCGATGCTCGGCGCTGAGAATCGTTAGCCAGTGATGCATAAGCTGATTCTACAGCAGATTTCTCTCTAAAATAAGATACGAAGAGTGAAAAAAGGCTAGTAAGAAAGATGTTTACGCGATGACAGATCTCTGAAAAGATCCATGCATGCACTGGAAACGTACATGAAATGGACAACTACCTAACTTTTATCGTTGAGTGCCTATCACTCCAGAAAAAAACTTCATTCACATTTGTTTTTATTGCATTGACTCAGAACTTCCCCTTCTCAAAAGCCAAGCTCGTAGCAGAAAAAAACGGTTATCCAAAACCAATTTATTGACAAAATCACGAAAGATGATAAACAGTCCAAATGAGTCACTGACACCCAGTAGTTCTAAAGAAAACCAGATTCATTTGAAGTTGGAATTCAAGTGGTGAACATGGCTTCAGATATATGCTCAAAAATCGTATCTAACTAAATGAATCAGTCAGTCAGTAAGGCATTGTTTGCTGCAAAATTACAAATGACGTTCACAAACCGTTAGTTGTTGTTCTCCATATCTCTGTCTCCATGTACACCTATTACTACATCTACTCTTGTGGACCAAGGAACATTATTGGTAAATTTGGTCTATAGTGGTGTTTTTGTTAATCGCTGACTTATTCATGTGAACACCAAGCTTCTAGAAATTCCCTGACTGCATTCTTGGTGTTACTTCTATTTAGGATTTCTACATTATCCCAATTAAATTTGTGTCGGTAACTGTCTGCGTGAATCGATATGAAAGAATAAATATCGTGCCTTTTTACAACTAATTCATGTTCTTGGACTCGAAATCGAAGGAGATGTCCGTTTGACTAATGAACTGCGATAAACATTACATGCAGTACTAATTAGCGCTTAGTGCTATGAAGCCAAAAAGTACAGTACAATATATGCCACACTTGGTTATTAGTTGGTTTGAGAAGGCAATCAACTAAAAGCCCTACCTTGAACATAGGTTTCGTGTCTCGTTGACAATCAGTCACCAGTTGGCAAGGCAATCCAGAAGGAATTCATCTCTTTTCTGAGATTCGAATCCGCGCCACCCAAGTGCTGCTGACAGATATCAGTTTACAGCAAAGAAAGAACTGGACACGTTATACCATTTAGTATCCAATCAAAGTATCTAAAACGGTCCTACCTACAGGAGGTCAATAGCCAGCCCGAATATTTTTTTATTTGATTTTATTTGATTACAGCTTGATGCCACACCGTATTTTCAGTACAAGTATGGAATTTTCCGCATGGATATCGGTAGCCCAAATTTTGCGGGCCGACCATAGATATCGGGTGTGCGTCGGCAGGGGATCGAACCCTGGACGTATGGTGACGTTTCTGAATGCAGCACTTCACTGGATGATACAGGAGTTCGAATCTCAGAAGGGACGTGAATTCCTTCAAGATTGCAGATATACGCCTTAGTGACTGGTGATTGAGTGACAACAAGCACGAAACCCAGGTTCAAAGCAGGGCTTCTTATCCCGAGTGCCTCCAACCATATAATATCAACAATGTATAGTTCATCGGGATGGCGAGCTACCTTGCCTGTTGGTGACCACATTGCAAACTTGACTGACAGAAAAATTCAATCTGCACGAAATAAAAAAAATAGACGTATAATACGAGTCAGCTTCCAGTCGGCTTTTCATTGACATGTACCTGACTAACTTCCACTTTTAACAAGTTTGGCAAGATCTGTTCTAAATAGTCTGATACGAAAGGCGGATTTCAAGTGTCAGTTTGTTTAGATTTCAGGATTTAATGGAAAACATGCTACCTACGTAGCATTTATTCATCACAGCATGAATCACAAATTTTTCAACAATTCTACTACTCACAAGTCCCATAAAGAAGAGTTGGTTTCGTGGATAACTAACGCTTTGATGTTTGAAACTATGGGTAGTGGGTTAGAGCCTTAGTGGGGGGAACACCATCAGTCATTGGGGGATGCACGTACATCCAGCTAACTGAAAAGTAGTCCCGAATAGGATTGATTCCTCCACTACTTGTCACCATCCACCAAGTTAATTCAAATAACAAAAAGAGATTTTTAAAATTTGATAAGACTGGCCTCACTCAGTAAAGTTGTTCTGCCTACATACCGATTTAAAGCTTCTATTTCAGCAATCAATTTATTTGATTCTTCAAAGATCGATGGATCAGGAGGAGTAGGTCGTAAACTTGGCGGGATTAGAGAGGGTGGAAGTACAGTTGGCAGTGAACGTGCTGATAAACCTCCAGATAACTGTTCTGTTGCCAAATGCATAGCAACTGTAAATTGTTCGCTGGAAAACCAAATAATAAAATAACAGTGGAATTTAGATTTTTTTCATTACGCTTATGTGCTAAATACATCTGAAAAACGAAATGTGAAAAATATATATTAGGCAAAACACTTTTCAATCAGCCTCCCATTATATACGACTTATTATTTCTGAATATAGGAGTTATTAAAAAGACAACTGCAGAGAAGAAATTTTTCTTCCCGACGAAGTAACCAACTAGGTGGCACACTTTTCTATTTACAGGAAATGGGTGAGAAAGTTTCAGAACTTTCTCCAGTCAAGTGCCAACATGCATATACTAGTTCACTTGCTCGTGTGGAGCCGAATATATTGGCCGTACCATGATTCCACTTGTAAAACGAGCTCGGGAACACTATCCAACCTGCTTGACTAGCAAGGGGAGAACGGAAGGGCGTATACACTTCAGTGACAGAACGGAACATCTGGTGAATTCAGGACATCCAGCTCCATTTGATGAAAAGTCCTTCAAAGTCATACAAAAGATCCCATCAGACCTTTATTGCAAAGGGAGTGAAATCAAGGTGCATCTGGTTGAGAATAGCTGAGGCACTGGCGTTCCAAAAGTTCAAGCCTATGACGCTATGTATTCAATAGAAGCACATACGTTCAACTTTTGTCCCTACCATGGTCATCATAAAAGGTCAGTTCTATCAATAATGATTGTCCTTTCTTAACTTTCTCAACCAATCTCCCTGTTTATTTCTGTTATTTTGGCAGTTTTTTATCCGAACCGAGATTCATTGACACAATTTATCAAACCAAAAGTTCAGAGCAACAAAACATTACTTGTTTCAAAATAGGAAAAATCTACATGAGCCTAGATTTCAAGGGAGATGGAACCTGCGATATCCATAGTAGAGGAATTTTATCATCTGTGAGAATATTCTTCGCAACAAGGCTATGGAGTAGCACAGAGGGCACATAAGTTCCCTCTCAAGGTTGCAGGGAGGCCTTGTTGAATGGGAAGTGCTAACTAGAACGAAACTTAGGTTAGGCAGGGCTTTCTGCTGATTTCCTCCAACCATGTTATATCAACAGTTCACAGAACACCTTGATGACAAGGTAGCTGCATTGCAAACTTGACTGACAGAATTCAGTCTGCAGCGAACATCAAGGACTAGACACATTACACTACTTACTAACTAGTGTATAACCAAGGTAAAGAATAAAATATACATCCTCATCCTTTACCTAAACCCTTCAACTACTAACAAATTACAAGGGAGCGACCCCATTCGCCCACCACTTTTGGAAATAAACGCATTCTAAAGCAAGTGCATTAACAAAAATATATACAACTAACATCACTGATTTGTCATCAAGCAAACAAAGAAACGAAAATTAACTCGATGAATGAAGTCACCTGTTTAGGAGACCTGTATTCTGTATGTCAACCAGTTCCCATATTTGAGCTAAAATATCCTGAGGTAGTCCAGATCGCATTAGAATGTCTCTCACTTCCGGCCCAGAAACTAATCCATCAGCATCCAGATCGATTGCAGCAAATACTCTTGAATTCTTGGCATGCTCTTCTGATGAGATAGCCCATTCAGGAAAAATATAAGACTGAAGGTAAGGCTGATGATGATGACTAGACAGAGACCAAACACTCGGGATTGTGTGCGTTGATTGTGTAGTAAATGTATCCACACCGGTTGAAAAAGCCTAATTGTGAATGAAATAACCAACATTACAACAATAACAAAAAAATTATCATTACAAAGCACACGACCATCAAAGTAGAAAAGGACCATTCTATATCTGTAAATAATAAGCCTTCTTCATATATACAACTGGAATTCAAGGGTGACGTACCGAGTGAAATAATTACCAACATGTCAAGAAAATCTTTTCATCAATGCTGGTAAACTATAAGCCATATTTTCTACACCCCAACCGGTTGTCATCTGTCGATTGAAAGATGAAGTACCTAGACTAGACTAGGCTAGCCACCTCTTCTTGTATCTATCAACTGAACTGCGCTGGTAGTAGAGAGAGAGTTATATTGGCAGTTGCTCTAGCAACTTGATTTTTCCTGCTCGCTGGGGAACACCTACCGGTGTGGTGTGGCTAAATAAATAAGGGTGTAGTGAAAACTGGCGTCAACAAAAAGTTGGATATTGGATGACCGCCTGGTCCAAAGCGACTGGCCACGAAGCTAGCCATCATTATCTGTCCGGTAGCAGATAAATAGCCAAAAGCATCTAGGTACCGAATACTCTGCCAAATAGCAGAGGCTACTGTGGTTCGCCTAAAACAACCAGTGCTGTGGGTGTGTGTGCAGAAGGAACAGGTTCAGTCATCCACTATAACTGCCCTGGTCTTCTCTTTAGAATCTGTGAAATCATGGATTCTGTATGATTATTTTTCCTAGTCTGTTTTCCTGATATTTAGTGTGTAGTGTAGCGTTATGTTGATGCACATTATCACACTTACAGATGCTTCAGTGAACTGTAATCTATTCATACTGAATTAGTTGTGTTCTCTGAGCCGGTTGATCTAATTACTAAACTTTTGTCGTCCTTCAAAACAACATCTTCAGCGCAGACGTTCTTGATTGATTGGATGTAACTTAAACAACATTAATATTTCTGTGAATAACTTTAATTCCTTCAGCATTATTATGGATGGATATGTAACTGTAGAACGTGATGAAGAGGAAGTTATCGAAAAGACTATTCTTTGTTCAGTAATCAGTCTTTTGAAATTTCTAATGGGCAACCTGAATCACTTTCAAATGTATTTTTTTTTTGAAAAAAGTATCATATGCTTGAGGCAGTTTTACCACATTTCCATTCCATTTGAGTGTCTGAAATATTCCTACATCACAAAGTAAAGAATATCTTTTTGAAAAATGTATATTTTTCAGGTTAATTGCAGTTATCAAATGAAATAATTATCATTAATATACAAATAGCCCGGTATGTGGCGAATACGGTTATAGTGTAAAATTACGAGTCTAAATTCATATCAGTCAATAGATTTTAAGGTTGTAACGCAAAGTATGCACTGGATGCAAAACTCCGCCCCACAGAACAAGTTGGATTCATAAAAAGCAAATGATGTGCTGATCAGATTGCAACTCTACACATCATTATCGAACAACGGCATGGAATGACAGTCAAATGTCTGCTTCAAATTCATTGACTAATTTGAAAAGACCTTCGACAGAGTTAACGACAGAGAAGAAATTTGGAAATTACTTCAACACTATGGAGTGCAGTACTCTAAAATCTTTTCTCAACCTTATTCAACCAGACCAATATGACAATGACATGCATCTGATGATCCACAACGGAAAACTCGGCGAGGCGTTTGAAGTGAATACAGGAGTAAGACAAGACTGCCCATTATCACCAACGATGATATTCCTTATTCTAGTAGACTGGATTACGCACCACACTGTGTGGGGAGGGAGATGACAGGAATACACCCGACCCAGAAGAAGACTCTAAAACATCGGGATTCCACGCGTCGATCACTTATGTCGTTGTATATCACACAAACTCAAAGACTTACAGGTAGGCGAAAAACAACAACTTGGCAGGAACGCCTGGCAGTGAAGACAGGAGACTCCAGGTGATCAACATAGAGAAGATGGAGATGATGAGGATGACCAACCAACCAACCAACCAACCGACAACAACAACAACCAATCACTCACCAGGGAAGGGAGAAATTCAATGAAAGAGGTCTCGTCCTACCTTCACTTATCTACATATGCAGCATCGTTTCAACCACAGGAAGTCAGAACCGTTGAAGATGTCAAAGCCAGCCAGCCAGTCCGACAGGGACAGACACACAGACAGGATCGGAGAAGCGAGACAGCATATCTTCATCACTCTGAAATCAGTTCGGAAATCTTCTGTACGCCATCTCACCTTAAACAACAAGATTCGAATTTTCAACACCAATGTTAAGTCAGTCAGTTAGTCGATTCTTACGTATGGGTCTGTAACTTGGTGTGTGCGCCATCAAAGGTAATTCCAATAAGCTACTGCAGAATTTTATCAATAGTTGTCTACTTCGCTGGCTACATATTGAATATCAAATGGCCGACTGGCCAGAAAGTATTACCAACGAGAAACTCTGGGAACAAACTAACCAACAACCTATCGCTCAACAAATATGTAGGGGCAAATGGAGATGGGTTCGGCACACACTGTGAAGACCGTCCAGTGACACCGAGCACCAGACAGGTCATTTCTCGAGTAGAACCCGTATGGGAAACGACGAGTGGGTCGTCAGAGCGAGGGTTACACATTGAGGAGATAATGCGAGGAGATTACCGGCAATCGTGGGACGAGCTAGCTAGAGAGGACAGTTGAAAATAGAACAAAGTGAAGATGTATTGTTGAAGCTCTGTGTTCTATTCGGGGCACAAGGTAACAATAATAACATTCCTCTCTTTCAACACTCAAACGGAATATTTATGAGGACTAGCTAGTTCGCTACCTTTCACCACCTAAGATTTTCGTTGTTCTCGATGATGGCACAGATGCATTTGTCACATAAGCCCTTATTTCCTCACATTTTTGTTTATTATCTCTCCTTAATCTATTCTCTTGGTTTCTTGGCTACATACGGAGAGTGGCAACTCGAACTGGTGCTGCACATCTGTGCAAAGTTCTTCGTTGAAACCAGTCAGTCAGTCAAATGAGATCAGTCACAGTGCTTGTGTCAAGCAAAACATGAAGTACAATCACTAACAAACAACTACACTTTAACAGAATATCAGGTGATACAATTTAGTGATCATTCGAGGAATTAAATTGCACATTGCAAAGAGTTAATTATCAAGGCGACAATTTAAAATAATGACAAAACAGAATTAAATAAATTACAGGAAAAGGCAAAAAATTAACGATGGCATTATACAATTACCATGAAAAAAACAGCACCACCTCCATAATTATCTAAACCAATTTAAAACACAAAACCTGGTGCAGTATAAGCACCAAGAAGATACGCCGCCCAATAATACTGATAATAATAAAACAACAACTTAGGAAACAACAATAAGTAGAGAATGAATGAGGACTTAGTTCGGAAAGGAAGCAACTACATTTCGCAAAACCAAACAACATCAATCGAATTATTGTCAGAAACAGAAGCGAGAATGAAATTGCACCAACTTTGTCATTGATGATTACTATTCTGCTCCACATCCGATAATGTGCCGAACGAGTTAACGATTCTAGTTACCTTTCCAACCACAACCAGGGAGTCGAGATGTACCACCAACCGATGATAACCTAACACAAATATCCTAGGTTCGCTGACCACCTCTCCGCTTTTCCCATCTCCTCCCACGGCTGGCTAGAGAACAGACAGCAGTACGGAAGCCTCTCAGATGACATTCGGAGCACATGACCATCAAGCCACCGAAACAGGTGTTTCCAAATGACGACAACATCCAATAAATGGTGATCTCCATGGTGTCTAAATACACACTACAGGACACCTCACAATTACTCACACGATGATGACGTCAACGAACGAAACCAATTCTACTAGGGAGACAGCGATGGTCGAATACGCAGAGTTGCCGGACATCCTCATCCAAAACCGGATAGGCCAGGTTTCACAGGCGTACAGCAAGACTGCCCGCACCAAAGCATCGTAAACCCGACCTCAGACAACCAGTCAGGCAAACATCGCCAATGGCACTAGAGGTAGTTCAGGTTAGCGTATGCCACCCTAGCTTTCGTGACACGGTTGAAAATCTCGTCCATCACACCTCCACCAGCGCTCTCACACAACTACCCAGATACACGAAATAATAAACAATTTCAAGCGGTTCACTTGCTAGAGTGAGTGAATGCAGGTGTAGGATCCTGCCAATATTGAAACAGAACTTTCCACTTGAACGGCACCCCTGCGCTACCGAAACTTCAAAGCTCTAGCTTGAAGTCACATGTTCCACTTGGAGCGTAAAGGAATAAATAAATAAATAATAGTAAATCTTAATCAATGGAAAATTAAATATGTATTTTGCCACTCACCACTAATGCAAGTGCAGATGAATCTCTAACATTTCCCATCTTTGGACTTAATAATTCAGATGTTGCGGTGGTAGACTGAATAGGAACTAGAGCCAGACTAAAATCCGATTCACTGGTGGTCATAGCTGGTGAACAGAGCGCAGGATGATTGGAGGTAGTAGTAGTAGTAGTCGTGTTCGAAAAGTAACCTTCTTTATCCGGCGGAATTAAACTTTGAGGAAGTTTGTCTGGTAAGCTTTCTCCATTAAGTGAACGATGAACAAGATGCATAGCCTATGGAAGTTAGAATTTATTTTTAATGTTAGGAAAAAGAACAACTTATACAACACACGGAGCGACGAAGAGACAAACGAAAAAAAGGAGATATCCTGCAAGAGTCTATACCAAAAACCATAAAAGATTAATGAAGTCAGGAAACAGAGACGCGTTAGCACGATAAGCACTCACAGACACACATGCATTTTGAAAACTTCCAAACTCCTATTCACTCAGTTAGAAAAAACAACAATTCTACATAATCCTTCTATTCTTCTAAACCATTACCGCTATTTTACAAATTTCTTGGTTATATAACAACTAGTTGAGCTAAGCCCCACGAATTAAATATTCCTGAATTCCGTGCCTGATTAAATTTCATCCTTCCTTCAAAACCCAGATATCTTATTACTAACATCTGTTGGCTAATTGTTTTGATGACTTTTCGCGTCTTAATTTCACACACCTCCGGCGTATACCGGAAATTGATGGACTAAGACAACCAATTGATTGTTGAAATTTCGGTGTAAACAATAGAAACTATATTTTAGTGTAGAGCCGATGATGAGGAACTAATTGAAGTAAAGTAATGCATATTTCTTCGTTGTACAATCTGTTATTTTGATAACTATCCAAATTGATTGTAACTTCTATAATTAATTTTAATAAAACTTGACTTCAAAGTCAATCTTAAGTCTGTGTTTGTAGTATCCACAGCTGTGTTTCTGCCTGGTATATTCGAAAGTGGGTAGGTGGGTAGACTTCAGCCTCCAACTTTCGAAATGCTATCACATATGGCCGTACGGCCGTAGCCTTTGCCAGGTATGTCCTATTATTCACTGCCTCCACACATGTGGCAGGAGTGTTAAACACACACACATAAGTGAAAGGGTCAATGTAGACATCGTCATGGTGCTTACTATCAACGTGACGGAGAGAAAGATGCAGGTTTATCTAGGCAGGGAAGGGAGGTCTGGAAATCCTTTAATTCCAAACCTATGGTAAGCGGTACATGGACTGCAGAATCTGAAAGGATTAAATGGCGTAAGTGAGCCTGTCTTTTGGTCGCCAACACAACCCCATGGGAGCATAACTCCTCTTAACGCTGCTCTCAACTGGTGGCATGCTTAAATCACTGGGCAACCAACGCTAACCTCCAAGCATACAGTTTGCATACACTTTCTCTCATTCAACTTCTTTAAATCCAGTAAAATATGACCTCTAATAGTACTGTTTACTCTGGAGAGTATTTAAAACATTTACAACATATTCAATCGCAAGAAGAAGCATTTACGTCGAAGACGGCTTATCCCAAAACACGAGATGACCGTTCCTCAATGGTGTCTCTCATTCACCAAAATGTACTCTTGAACCTTTTATAATCGGCATTCAACAAAGTGTCATCATATACCTCTCGAAGGAGGCAAAGAACAAGTATCATACTGATGAATTCGTTTGCGCTTCAGGCGAGACAGAACTGTGTTACACGATCTACTGTCAGTCAATTAGTCTTTTTTATTTGAAGCTGCTGGACGAAGCGGGATATATCATGCAATAAACTCCGCTGAAAATTGTGTACATTATATATAAGCATTGTTCGGAATAAAGCCATTATTTACTTATTTATTTTTACTGACCTGTGGATCAGACTTCAAGTCAAGGGTTCACGAGGGATCATCAGTTTAGTTAACACAGCCACCTACTTCAGCCTGAGCGTCAAGACAGTATCTCAGGCCTTACAAAAAAGCCATATGGAATGTTGTACGGTGTATCTCATTGTGGCCATTATATACCAAATTTGTGTTCTAATAAAACAATACACTGTACAAATTCCTGAATCATTAGTAGAAAAGTGTATTTAAAACGACACAATAAACACAAAAAGTCTGGCTGAACTCTAGACTTAAGACAATAAGAGATTCTCTTAGGTTTTTATTTAGAGGATGTTAGCGTGTATGTGCGTAGTTCTGAAAGCAGCGAATTTATACAATAGTATAATTTACAAATACCTTACAATGACTGCGAGTCAAGTCAACTAACTGCATAGGTCAGTCAGTCAAACCAGTAGATCGTGGGTGGTAGTCAGATTGTCAGAACATAAGGATTTAATAGCTAAGTACAGAATGATTCACCCTGTGAAGATGAGTAATTTAGAAAGAAGAAAACACAGAAATCGCACTGCATGCATTAACACACAACTAACCACAAAATACGGTGGGACAGAGTTACAATTCCCAAAAGTATGATGCATAGATAGAGAGAAAGAGAGGTTGATCCCTAACTGAAGCTTTCTTCATCGAATAATCTACAACCAACATAACACATGCAATAGGAATCACTCATCACCATTAGTACCAGAGATATTAGAAAATACTACTAATACTACCAATCAAATGAAGAGATGAATAATAATGGAATTATATATACACGCAGTCAGAGTAGTACCTCGGTATGGATTATGAGCAGCAGTAATAAAAGTTGTGCTCTAAACGTCGTTATCAGTAAATAGTTACTGTAAAACACGCTGTGAAACTTCATCAAAATAAAGAATTTCTCTACCACAGTCCCCAAGTCGTTCTGCTCTTACATCAATTGCAGAACATTCACTAAAAGTAAGCAGTTTACAGCAACACGTAAGTAAAACGAAAAGTAACAGAACCTAGTGTGTCAGTTGCATTAAAAACGACATGAATAAGAGGCACGGGATATATATATATATATATAATCTTAATTGCGATTCAATACCGAATAGTTAAACATAATCAACAAACACTAATAACAATTTCCTGAACTTTAATGTAAGAAGAAGAAACGACGGTACGGTTGAAAAATCAGTCTACATAGGAGAAACCTGGACCGGACAACAACAGCTTATGTCCTATAACCTATAAGCGTGTATTAGTAAGGACTAAAATATTATTGACTTGACATGTAAACATACACCCTAACACTGTTTATAAGATTTCTCTATTTTCTATCTTCACCTCCCTCCTTTCCCTTATTTTCCATCTTGAAAGCATATCAGTTGATGGTAACTCAAACTAAAGGCAATCGTAATGCTTATATTTCGGATGTGTTAGCTTAATAATGTTTTCTCTAATACCAACATTCAAACATTGAAGTATGCCACTGTCATTCTCTTTTATAACCATTGTAATTTCAGGTAGTGCGGTGCAGCTGGTGGAGAGAACTTGTGAAACAGAATGATGATATCATTTTATACTGCACATCTCGCCCTTCTTTTTTACTTTATCGAAGCTATTTTGTTTTTATAAATACACCTCTGATGAGAAACATTCCCTAACAAACCACCATAGAAAGAAATAATAACTGATGTACAACATGAACAAAGCTTTAAATTAGCAAGTAATGACACTTATGAAAGTAAATGTATGCCAATCAATAATAGAACTTACAATAATGAATTCACTCTGATCTAGACAACCATCGTTATCGATATCCGAAAGATCCCATATTTTTCCAAGAGTTTCTACTGGCAGTTGAGATTTTAAAAACACCTGGAGGAAAAAACGACCGAGAATGAAAACTAAGTTCAAAAACCATTAGTCTGAATCTATTTAACCATAAGATATATATATATATATATCGCACTAGTTATTGGTTCTAATTTAATGTTAACCAACTAAATTCGTCTAAATATTGGAACATTTAGCTAATTTCACAACAGTAATATTAAACTTATTATCTCTAAGAGGGGTTAGACAAGTTACTGCAAAATTGTATCTTAGTTGTTAAGCTAATAATCCGTTCAATAACTGACTTTGCATAAACGCATACACACACACAGATATGGTTGATTTAGTATCATGGTGTCACAATGTGTCGAGACAAAAATCACGTGAAAGGAATTTGTAAATTGTAAATATTTATGAATAATCGCCATCCCTAGACGTTAACGATGAAAACAAAACATGTAGTTCAGTGATGCGTCTCTTTCCGGCGAATTCCTTCTCTTAGCTGTACGATCACGATTACATATAATTATATATATATATATATTTGGTTCGTTAGACAGTAATAAAAATTAATTAGGGTTATTGTTTATACCAAAATATTTCAAAAAAATGTGGTGAATAACCAAAAGGTAACTGGGGGGAAGGAGGACAATTAGCAAGTTCAGAGCATGGTTATATAATGTGAAAGATGTCCGGAAAAAATAGGAGGTTAATGAAAGAGCGTGAAGACAAGTGTTCAAAATGAATTATTTAGTAGGTAGAAAGAGTAAATAAAGAGTTAGATAAGAAAAAGATTTTACTGAAATGTCACACAAAAAATACACACAATAGTAATAATAACAAGAGAGTTGAAAGTGGAATTATACCCATGGTAGAAGGAGGAGATGGAAAAAACCCTGATTTGCGCGTGCACAGAAGAAACTTCTCCATCCCTTCATCTTACCATGACTATAATTCCAAGTTGAATTGTTATCAACATTTTGTGATTGATTCAGTTTTGTGCATTTTTCGTATGATATTTATTATTAACATTTTCTTAACCAAAGTGCTGCTAAAACTCTCTTCATCCGTTGAACAATTCAATTTGACACTTACCTCCATGCTCTTTCATCATTAACATCTAATTATTTTTGACCGTTTGTCATATAACGTAACCTTATTCTATCTAAGCTTATTAATCTTCATTCCCTCTTGTTACAATTTGATTATTCACCACATTTTTCGAAATATTTTAATGTACACAATAACCCCAACTAATCTGATGAACCATATATATATATATATATAATTCCGATTGTACAGCTGAGAATGAATTCGCCGAAAAGAGACGTATCGCTGAACTACGTATTTTTATTTCATTGATTCTAAATAAAACCACGGTTTAATGTAAATTAGTTACGAGCAAGATAAAGGAATTGTACTACTTTTCTTTAACATGACAGTTCTGTAAAATTTACAAATTAATTGGCAATTAGTTGAGAAATCAGTGTGCATGGATGGTTTGGCGTTACAACGCTCGCCAGCCACGCCTAAAGTGGTCCGCTTTTCGATTCCTGGTTGACGTACTCCTCACTAAGCCGGTAATAAGGCTGGTGAAGAGGGAAGGTCTAGTGTGAGACTAGCAACCCTACACTGTGAAAAATAAAATCGCGGCTACCAAAACTGCATAGGTCTAGTTTGAAGGCCCATGTTCTACTCTGAATGAAAAGGAATGAAATAAAAGGAACCAGTGCTACCTACATAAGATGGCACAGTCTTTATCAGAATAATGTTGAATAAAACGTACAATAATAATAATAATTAATATACAGCTGCAAGCGAAAAGAAAGGAGATCCTTCACATGCTTAGATAAAAAAAATTAAAAGTTGATTTGAAATTCCATTTGAATTAAAGTCCGTAAAAATGCTATTAAAATACCTATTCATCAGATAGTTTCGAATCCTTTGAATAGGATAACAACAGCAACAACATAACCAACTTGAATGGACAGAAGGGATAAAAATCAGCCCACAAAAAACATAACTTGTAGTGACCTCGTGTATGTACGTGTGGAACTTGGGCACTGTTAGAATGTAGTTGTACATAAGTGCCAGTTAAATGCCCAGGACTTGGTTTGTGTGAGGGAAAGCTTATTTAACAAGAGCCATATGCGTTCTAAGTCAAAGCGGGATGTGCAGTCTAGGCATTTAAACACAATATTCTAAGGGAAAAGTTGTGTTGAAACTGTGGAACTTACAAAAATAAACCCAGAATATAATTTCCTACTGCGAAAGCGACACAGATTAATACACAAACACATTAGAGACTTTAATTCATAAATTGATTCATGTAATGCGAACACACGGGTGAACTTAAGCCGACCAAGCAGGTAATCCAGTGGTTTTTGCGTAAAAATGACGTTTATTTAAAAGAGATATAAATGAAAATACATTAAACAGGAAATTTTTCCCTGACATGACTTAAAAATACCTCTAAATTATAATCAGTAGTATCAGTTTTTAAGCTGGACCAGTTTTTTGTACATGTATTCACGGAGGTGAGTGAAGATGAGTTTTTACTATGACCCAATTATCGCTCCTTTCCTGTTTTTCAGTCTTCTCAAAAAGACCTCGATTTAATTAACATGGGTTCCGGTAAGAGGACTGACGACTATTTACTAAGAAAATGAGGATATTAAAAATAAAATAAATAAGACCAACCATAAACCTAGTACTAAACGTAACCCTAACATTGATCCCAATGCCAGTCGTGACCGAAACCTTCACGAACTATTAACACATTGTCCAAACAGTTGTTAAAAACGAGATCTGGATGAAACTGTCACCTCGATTCGTGCATTGTGACACACTATAGTATTAGTACGTTTCGTTATTCAAAGAATACTATACATTGGAGCGTTCGCAGTACTGGGTTGTTATACTTTAAAATGGCCAAGGGGACAAACGACTGCAAACAAATGAGATACATCTTAGGTAATTGCAACGAAGTGATTGAGCATTTCCATGAATAAACGTTAAGGCTTCGACTTCAAATACACAGAACGGTTCGTTCAGTGGATAAGCCAAAAACAACACGCTATAAATGTAGCATACATATTTCACACTTATCAGCAACATTTCACCAAACAGTATGTTGCGAATTAATGTTTCCGAATTATAATGATAACACAAGTATAGTATGGTGAAATCCATACATTTTTCAACATTTTTGATATCTCATCTACAAAAAGATGAATTGCCTCCATAAAAAAGCACCGAGAAACACATTTTTAAAAATGATAAGCTATTGACGAAACTATCACGTATTCATTGATATCAATGTCTATTATACGCCCAATAAACCACTGGTTGAAGATTGTATATCAATTAGAAAAATATACACTTAATTTCTACTACTGTTCATAAAAAAGGACACAACTATTCAATATCTGTTTAACCTAAAAACGATGGTTCATACCGCTTAAAACAATATATATATATATATACTGCGAAAAATAAACATTAAAACCTCTGCAAACCTCTCTAATTTTTTCACCAGATAATTTCCCGTAGGTCGGTTGCAGCTGGTCGAAAATAACTCTGTATCTATAAGCATCAGGAACGGAGATATCATATGTCATTTTGGGATTTCAAAGATACAACCTGCAAACAAGATATGCAAATAAAGACGCTTTAAATTACATTTACAAAAAAAAACCCAAAAGAGGTCAGTAACTCTTGCAGTTTTCAATAAAATTATCAATATAGGGGACCCCTTCTATTCCACGACATGTAGTTTCCTGTGAATTACTTGGTAAAAATATAAACATTTGTTAAAATATTGCTATGCTTACTGCAATTCGATGAGTATCAGTACCAAACACAGAGTTTAAAACATTATAAAGAGATGTCCCCGGTAAATTATATACTATGGGATATAACTAGACTTCTATCATACAAAAAAAGCGATAGGTTACAAAGCCGGTATTATCTCTACAGAAACTGAATTAACATCAAGAGGCGAGCAAAAAGAAATCAAATTGGTTTATACTAACTCGTAAAAACGACATTGGATATTGGAATATCGTCACTGCAACAGCATACAATATGCTATAACTTCGCTTAGACAAGGAGCAACAAGACACTGTTTCCTTTTCCTAGGTGGCTTATAAACCTATAACAGCTATGGATGCTTTAGATGTAACCCAAAGGTGATCTATAGGAAGAAGCAAGTGGAATGACAGCTGCGAGATAGGTGAAGCTAATCTAATCGGACTTGCGAGTTGGAAAATTGGGTGATTCTAAACTATAGCAGCCAAAACAGAAACCACCTTCAGCTACCAATCAGATGCACCAGAAATGAAATTGCGTAATTTGAAACAAAAGTCTATACAGAATTAATGAAATGTTAAAAATGGTTATATGGTATAATATTCTTGCATATGTTCCAAAAAACCTCCCAGATTCTTACAGAAGTGTTTACAGTCAGGTTAAACCAATTCTCGTAAGCAGATCTTGCAAGGTCATCATTAGGTAGTTTCGTTTTGGACTGCTTTAGTTTAGTCACCGAAAATTGATATAGGCCGACAACTGAACTAGCCCGCTTGTGTGTCGAGATATCGATTACTGTTAAAACAGCCTTTTTAGTGCACAGTGGAAAACACAGAACAGTTTGAAACTCAGGAATAGACACCGTTCCAGAATAAACACACCGTATAACCAGTTTTAACCGTAGCCCAATACGTCGAAAACACCGCCCTTCCTTTTCATCCAATATTCAGATTTCATATTTATTGGTTGAGGATAGAAGGCTTGGAGCCTATATTGATCCTTTTCTAGTAAATTTCTGTGATTGTCCAAACCCTTCTTGAATGAATCATTTGAGGTTGCAGACACCACTTCTTCTGGGGGTCGGTTCCAAGAGTTTATGACTCGGTGTGAGAACCAGTACTCAACATCAATGTGGTTTCTTCTTGGCTTTTGAACTCTCCTGCTATGTCCTCTAAGGTGTTCCGACCTGGTGGGAAGGAAAAGAGAGAATAGGTCCATTCCGTAGTCATAATTTGAAATTTTAAGCATTGTGATTAAATCTGCTCTCTGCCGACGGTATGACAGGGAGAAGAGAATTAAACTGTCTAGTCTTTCCTTGTATGCTGAAGTAGTCATACCGAGAATCATACGTGTTGCCTTCCTTTGAACCCTTTCTAGGATATGTGAGTCGCCTTTAAGACGAGGACTGGCTGCCTGGATACAGGTGATTCTAGTAAAGGCTCCACGAATTGCCCATAAGCACCTGAAACTACGTGTAGCCATGGCTCGACGGTGCGCTGTATTTTTTAAATCGTGGCTAACTATGACACCTTGTAAGACGCATTATAAATCCAACTGAATTCCTCGCACATGGAAAAAGTGAAACTGTGGGATCCAAAAACTCGACCTAGAAACTTTTTGATTGTCTGTAGAACAATCAGTCACACCATACATTGAATTCATAATCTCCTGTTTGCCTGGCATTATAACTATTTTCCAAATATTTGAGCATGCATTACGCTTAACCAGAGTGCTTTATTACTGCACTTAATCAGGAATAAGGCCATCTATATCTGAGGGAATACAGTTTATTCTGGACACAAATATCGCTCTGTAATTTCATTCAGAATCCGGACACTTATGAAGCCCCTAAGCAAATAAGCAGCTTTTAAGTGGAATTACGATAAGAGAGACTTTTGCTCGCTTTGATGTTCTTAATTACGCCTCATGGGAATTTTCTATACACTGCATTGACGAAGCTACCAGTGCTTACGTCTTTTAAATATGGTTGACCGCTACAGGTTATTTAGAGTTGACTCTAATTTGGTTGGTATGATCTAGCCCCACCATTGTGTTATGAATCCTCACAGTGATTACAAAGTAATAAAAGCCTTGCTTTCCTGGTCCTCGATCTGATATTTTAACTAGTGTCGCATATTTTTAATAAGATTCTACCCATGTAAGTGTGAGAGGTAACTCCCCCTAAACTTCTGTTGTTGGTGGGTGGTGTTTTTTGTTGGTATGATAGGGTATCTTCATAACCTCTATCCTTAATACCTCCATTCAACGTCTTGTCCTAACTATCTCTTCCGACAGCCTGAAGCTTTTTGCTTTTATATCTTAAAGTTAGTGCTACACGACAGAAATGGTCTGTAAATCCTTATCTTTTTGAGTCCTTCACCTGATTAAAGATGGCATTCGGTGGTAGCAGTCAGCCTCCTCCCAGTTTCGGCTTCTGTATGCGTTCCACTGCTAATCACTTGACATGTTTCATCATCATATAGAATTGTTGAAGTCTTTTGCCAAACTGTTTTGAGGCAGACACTATCAATAAAGTCAAAGTATGGGCTTCAATTACATTATAGGTTCTGACCAGTGTTGATGCGAAGTGTCCTAGCTTAGTCCCAACACAACTTGTTTTTCATGAATTCAGTCTGCTTTGTCTAAGTCTTCTATCTACAGTACTTTAATTTCTCTCAGGCCATTCAGCTTCATATTTTGTTCGAATCAGTCGGGGGCAGTATTCATACAGGCATGAGTCACCCTTCATTGACTGCCTCCCTTCTAGTTTTCTCAAACCTTCTTCGACAGAGGCATAAGCACACTGGCGAGTTTTCCTGACCCAGAGCTTCATGTGGATTACAACTGGTCCCACCGTTCTCCTTGCCTTCGGTATCTTTATGGAATTCAAGGATCTTGATAAGGCCTCAGGATTGTTACTCGGTATTAAAACTGTGTTTTATGGTGGTATTTCTGGATGGGTTTAAAGTGGTAGTCAATTTGGTGAATTGGCTGACCTAGCGCCACCTTTTCTCCTGCTCTAAGATAAATATTTCTTTGGTTTTATCTGTGTTGCTTTCATTCCACGATGGTGTCCTGGCTAATCGGAGTTGTAATCTGAGATACCTTCTGTCATCTTACCTTTTCTCTATCGCAGATATGTTGTGGAATTGTTTTTAACTTTCCTGGAACCCTTCTTCACTATTTCAATAACATATTTATAGCTGTCCGTGTAGGAACACAACAAGTGTACAGGCATGGATAAGTATTATTAAATTCAATAAATTTTTTTATGCAGAGTTTACATAGTTGTTGTTCTTTTTGGCTTTAGTTTGTGGGAAGAATCGGCTAATTACTTGGTCAATGTAGCACATTAGGAAATATAGGAAGATTGTCTCCTCATTAACGAAAAATTTCAAGTCTGTGCAGGGTGGATCACAGATACTTGGGAAAAATTTAAGCTTAAAGTCAATTCTCCCACATAACTTTGCAGTCTACGGCAAATGGTGTGTATGTTTGAGGTGTGTAATATAATTGTTTAATTCCCCTACCAATGTAGTCTTAGGCTACGAGCAAAATTGTCCTCCACACAGACTAATGTAAAACAGCCATCAGGCAAAGGTTTTACTTGATTAGATATGCACAGATATGGAATAAACTACCAATGGAAATGCGTCAAACAAGTACACTGGCCTCCTTCAAAAAGGTGCTTAATGACAAACTACAAGAGTTTGCAAACGATAGTAGTTCTAGCTCCTATCTGAGAGCCTCCGAAATTATAGGTCCATTTAATGTATAGGCTTAAATACTACACCTGTTGTTTTTTGCCTATATTTATAATTCTAGATAAAACATTAACGGTTAAGATGCGTACCCCCAAACAGACAAGAAATTTCGTTTGTAAAACTTCTACCCAACACAGTAAGTGGAATAAAATGGACATAAATCGACAACATGAAAAAGGTATAGCTCACCACAACATAACATGGACAGATGTACGCTCGTTGGGCACCATATATACCTCACCAACTACAACCGACCTTTCCTAAGATAATGTGATGAACTTATATCTATAATGTTGCTGAGCAGTTAATATTCTCAACTCCTGTCGGAACAGCTGAAATTCATAAACCTTCCTCACGCTAAGAAAATACCCACAACCAGTAGAAATCCATTAATTAATGCGTCTGAAGCTTATGTATTTACTCCCAACAATGACATTGCAGATCAAATGAGATAAACACATCACTGATTTCAAAATAACACATCAATGAACTATAATTCAAGGATTCTGCACACAACAAAGTTATGTATGAAAATTGACTTCAAGCTTTATTTTTTTCCCAGGCACTTATAATCCATCCACCAAAGATCTGGTTTTTTGTTAATGCGAAGACAATACTTCTGTATTTCCTGTTGTGTTGCACTCACTGACAATCTAGCAGATTTTTCCAGCTGTGCACAGAAATGATTGTATATAAGTGAAAAGACTGTTTTACACCACTGGGATTAACATTTATCAAGTGTATGTATAATCTCCAGCGAACATGTAAAGCATATCTTGCTACCGCCTGTAAATTGTGATTGAATTATATGGTTCTATTTCTGTAACAATTTGATGATGCCTGTAAACTGGCTTCCCTCATGTACTGTAATATGAGAATAAATTTATTTATTTATTTATTTATAATGTCCGTCATAGCCAGCCAGCCAGAAGGCATACATCAGTGGCTTCAATACCTGTCTAATTTCAGTCTTACAGTAGGTCTGAACGACTCCCACTACAAGGCAAATACGAAGGGACAGTCAAGCACCAAATTACCGGAAAAAGAAAAGTATATGGGCATAAATAGAATTTTAACAATAATAATTTCTATTTTCATATAAACATAAATTTACATGAAAATGCATGTCATTTTTACAGGCACGATCAAGTATGATATAATGACAAATAGTAGATTGTCTACAAGTTAATAATGTTTGAACAGCTAAATATTTGATATATATATAAATACACTCATTGTCTGACCCATGTCGTATCATTATTGAATTAAACAGTAGTCCTCCAGGTTGCGCAGGAAAATCGACTTCGTTTCGTTTTCAACCCGTAGTTGTAGGCATACGATAGCCAACCAATATTGAGGTAAGTACAACGTTTACAAGGGATAGTAAGATTATCACATTTTTAAAAGTTCAAATTGTTGAATTATATAGTACAAGCAATCGGAACAGATTCTTATAATTGTTAATTTGTAAATCTTCCACGAAGGTTTCCATCGAAGTTGAGCGACAACCACGTGCTTGAACGCTATTTCAGGAAGAGGAGAAAATCCTGCACGGCTAAAAAGTGGTATAAAATGCAATCATGAATAATACATTATTGGAAGTATATTTACAAGAAAAATACAAGAATAAGCTATACAGTACTTGATATGATAGTGCACATTTGCAATGTATGATGCTAACCATATTGGTCTTACCGTAGAAAACTATGACGTTTTCTATGAAAATAAAGTTATTTTCAAACACGAGTGCTGTTGTTATGTCAGTTCATAGACATGTTTATATTTACCGTACTCTGCTGTGTAGTAAATATATACATTGATATTCCCCTAGTCTTTTTAAACAACCATGCGACTGGTCTCTTTACCGTTTATGCAGAGCGATTCTTTCTTTATATATTTGATTCATTTAAGAAATAAATAGTTGGGGAATGTAACCAGTAGGATGAAACAGTCTACATAGAGAGCTTCTGAAGCTTACAACAGATATGTAGGTTCTTATTTCAAAATACAAGACTGTGGAGAATTGTATGTCCTTACTGTCTGAGAATGATATTTTGTGCAAAAACCTAGGGAAATCGGTGGCTTGCTTGAATCCATTTTTTATTCCTTTGAGTTTACAGCAGAACATAGAGTTTCAAGCTAGCAGCTTGAATTTTCGGTTGCG